TGGAAAGATATCTGGCCTGTGACGGAATCTAACTAAGAGAATATCTAGGTTGAGCAATTACTATTTGTAACCAGGTTTCAAAGTAGCAGCCGTGTTAGTCTGTATCCACAAAAAGAAAAGGAGGACTTGTGGCACCTTAGAGACTAACACATTTATTTGAGCATAAGCAATTTCTTTAGTGAATCAAGCTTAGTTTGCGTGCTTTGTTTTATTTGCTTGGTAATCTGCTTTGTGCTGTTTGCTGTCTCTTTACCACTTAAAATTCACTGTTTGTAGTTAACAAACTTATTTCTTGTATATAATATAACCCAGTTTATGTAATTTCTAACTGGGGGGGGGGGGCAAGAAGTTGTGTATATCTTCCTCCACATTGAGGGAGGGGGAAAATTTCATAAAACCTTTGGGTTTGTACTCTGTAAAGGGAGTGGGCACCACAGTGCTGGGGCAGGCCCCAAAGGCTGAATCTTTCCAGAGAGGATCTCTGTCTCTCTGTGCAGCTGGCTGTGGCCCTGCCTGTGTGCTTGGCTGGCAGAATAGCCTGACTCAGTGGCATCCCAGCACATAGAATCATAGAATATCAGGGTTGGAAGGGACCTCAGGAGGTCATCTAGTCCAACCCCCTGCTCAAAGCAGGACCAGTCCCCAATTTTTGCCCCAGATCCCTAAATGGCCCCCTCAAGGTTTGAACTCATAACCCTGGGTTTAGCAGGCCAATGCTCAAACCACTGAGCTATCCCTCCTCCCATCGGAGGGAGCCATCCCTCCCTTCGTCGGATGAAGTGAGCTGTGGCTCATGAAAGCTCATGCTCAAATAAATTGGTTAGTCTCTAAGGTGCCACAAGTACTCCTTTCCAGTTTTGAGAGACCATTTTGTAGCTCTTCACAGCCTGCCTGGGACTTAACTATCTTGAGTAGTTTTGTACCATCTGCAAATTTTGCCACCTCACTGTTTACCCGTTTTTCGAGATCATTTATGAATATGTTGAATAGGACTGGTCCCAGTACAGACCCCGGGGGCAGGGCCGGTGCAAGGATATTTTGCACCCTAGGCAAAACTTCCTTCTTTCACGCCCCCGCCCCCCACCCCACCGACAACCTCAGAAAACTTGTAAACTTAGCATTATACACAGCCTGTCAGAACGGGTAATGGCTGTTGTAATGTTTCTTTTTTACCTTTAAGGCATTTCAATTGTTTGCCATTGCCTCTGATGGTGTCCCATTCAAAGTCTTACTATTGTGCAAAGCTAACAATTGAGCCTTGCATTGCATCACCAGCCAGGTTAGGCAGGGTGACAAATCCCCCTTGCCCCAAAGGACCATTATCCCGCAGTGACTAATTTCTACTCCAAGTCTGTAAAGCAGACTTTTAAGGTAAATACGTTATTCCTTCAATAAGAAAAGGAGGACTTGTGGCACCTTAGAGACTAAAAAATTTATTTGCGCATAAGCTTTTATCACTTGCATCCGATGAAGTGAGCTGTAGCTCACGAAAGCTTATGCTCAAATAAATTTGTTAGTCTCGAAGGTGCCACAAGTCCTCCTTTTCTTTTTGCGGATACAGACTAACCCATGCACACATTTCACAAAGATTCTCACTCTTGACAAGTTACCAGCCTTGTGTAGATACCTTCCACGTTCCTCTTTGTGGGTAAGTGCCCTGTAAGACATGTGTGGGGTGCAGTGAGTTTGTTAGGCCTGTGGTGACAGCTGTTTGTGAAGATCAGGGTCCCTTTGCCAAGGGGTGCTGCTGTCACAGTGAGGTTGGGGTGGCTAACAGTATGGGGCAGAGCACTGAGGCTGGTGGGGCAGGTAACACTCACTGGGCTGGGGGGCAGGCGGTGCCGGGATGGGGCAGGGGCAGGTACCTGTCAGTCTCAAGCCCAGGGTGGCAGCAGCCTCCGCAGGAGCAGGTGGGGAGCATAGGCGCCCTGGGCTCGGGCTGCCCAGCTCCCCTGAAGTGGCGCCTGGTTCCTGCTGCTCTCAGCCGGCAGGTGAGGGGCCCCAGCCAAGCCCGGCCCCTTGCGTCTCCTCCGCAGCGGCGCCCCCCGCCCACGCCCTCCCCGGCAGCTGCAGCGACAGCGGCCAGGGAGCCTGAGAGGAGGAGTGGCCCCCGGGCAAGCAGGGGAGTCTCCAAGGTGAAGAGGCTGCTGGCCCTGGCATGGCCCGAGTGCTGGAGACTGACCGGCAGCTGCCCCTAAGCAATAGTGTAAAAAAAATAATAATTGGGGGGCACCGCTTTTTGGCACCCCCAAATCTTGGCGCCCTAGGCGGTCGCCTAGTTCGCCTAGTGGTTACACCGGCCCTGCCTGGGGGACACCACTATTTACCTCTCTCCATTCTGAAAACTGACCATTTATTCCTGCCCTTTGTTTCCTGTCTTTTAACCAGTTACTGATCCATGAGAGGACCTTCCCTCTTATCCCATGACCACTTACTTTGCTTAAGAGCCTTTGGTGAGGGATCTTGTCAAAGGCTTTCTAATAATTTGGTGAGGCATGATTTCCAGTTACAAAAACCATGCTGACTCTTCCCCAACACATTATGTTCATCTATGTGTCTAACAATTCTGTTCTGTACTATAGTTTCACCCAGTTTGCCCGATACTGAAGTCAGGCTTACCGGCCTGTAGTTGCCGGGATCTCCTCTGGAGCCCTTTTTAAAAATTGGCATCACAATAGCTATCCTCCTGTCATCTGGTACAGAAGCTGATTTAAATGACAGGTTACAGACTACAGTTAGTCGTTCTGCAATTTCACAAGTACTCCTTTTCTTTTTGTGAATACAGACTAACACGGCTGTTACTCTGAAACCTGTGATGTTATTGACATAAACTATAACTGTCTAGATCATTGTTGCAACCACTGGCATATATTTGCAGCAAATATTGTACAAAGGTTGTCGTGTGAGGTGTCTATGGAAAGGTTATGATTTGTTGATTATAATTATGCTAGCTGAAGTTATGAATATAGGCTATGTACTTGTATATCAAGGTGTTTTGATTCTAAAGTAGCCTTAGTAAAGCATTTGGTCAGCTTCTTGAGTGCAGTTTCCACGGTATGCATCCGATGAAGTGAGCTGTAGCTCACGAAAGCTCATGCTCAAATAAATTGGTTAGTCTCTAAGGTGCCACAAGTACTCCTTTTCTTTTTGTGTATATAATGTCTTCTGCAGTTTCCACAGTATGCATCCGATGAAGTGAGCTGTAGCTCACGAAAGCTCATGCTCAAATAAATTGGTTAGTCTCTAAGGTGCTACAAGTACTCCTTTTCTTTTTGCGAATACAGACTAACACGGCTGTTACTCTGAAACTTAACTGACAATGGATCTTGGAAGACTCCAATCAACATAAGAAGTCTTCCTGGGGACGTTCAAGATAACATATAAGGAATGGCTGCTGCCTGTAAAGAATTAAGTCATGCATGGACATGTGACTTGCCCATGTGACTCTAAACTCCATTTTTGCTGTAATTTTCCACAGGAAGAACAAAGAGGTGTTCTTACACCTGGAGGAGACTATAAAAGTCTGATGCCTCATCTCCATCTTGTCTTCAATCCTGCTTCTTGCCTCTGGAGGGACTTTGCTACAAACTGAAGCTCTGAACAAAGGACTGAATGACCCATCCCAGCTGTGGATGTTCTCCAGAGACTGGATTTGAACCTGCAGTTTATTCCCTCATTGCTACAAGCCTGAACCAAGAACTTTGCCATTACTGGATGTCATTGATTCCATTTAACCAATTCCAGCTCTCTTCTCTATCTTTTTCCTTTTATGAATAAACCTTTAGATTCTAAAGGATTGGCAACAGCGTGATTTGTGGGTAAGATCTGATTTGTATATTGACCTGGGTCTGGGGCTTGGTCCTTTGGGATCAAGAAAACCTTTTTGCTTTTACTGGGGTATTGGTTTTCATAACCAGACATCCTCATAACACATGGCATTGGTGATGATACTGGGAAGCTGGAGTGTCTGAGGGAATTGCTTATGTGACTTATGGTTAGCCAGTGGGGTGAAACTGAAGTCTTCTCTTTTTGGCTGGTTTGGTTTGCCTTGGTGTGCAAAGGAACCCCAGCCTTGGGCTGTAACTGCCCTGCTTTAAGCAATTTGTCCAAATTAGTACTCTCAGTTGGATCCCACCAAAGCCAGCATCATTACAGTTCCTTCAGAACTCTTGGGTGAATCATGTCCGGTCCTGGTGACTTATTACTGTTTATCAGTTTGTTCCCAAACCTCCTGTAATGTCACCTCAACCCGGGCCAGTGCCTCAGATTTGTCACCTAAAAAGAATGGCTCAGGTGTGGGAATCTCCCTCACATCCTCAGCCATGAAGACTGATGCAAAGAATTCATTAAGTTTCTCCGCAATGGCCTTATCGTCCCTGAGTGCTCCTTTAGCATCTCAATCGTCCAGTCACCCCACTGGTTGTTTGGCAGCTTCCTGCTGCTGATATAATTAAAAATATGTTTACGATTACTCTTGGAGTCTTTGGCTAGCTGTTCTTCAAAGTCTTTTTTGGCCTTTCCTAATGATATTTTTACATCTCATTTGCCCAAGTTTATGCTCCTTCCTCGCTAGGATTTAACTTCCACTTTGCAAAGGAGGCCTTTTGCCTCTCGCTGCTTCTCTTACGTTGTGGTTTCGCCTCCGTCCCACTTTTTTGGTTCTCAGACTATGGTTGGTAATTTGGGCTATACATTTAAATTGAGCCTCTATTATGGTGTCTTTAAAAAGTTTCCATACAGCTGCTTGTAGGTGCAGAAAGGAAGCAGCAGGTCCCCTGTGCTTATGCCCCTGAGTTAACATGGGGCTACTTTGCCCGTGTGGTAGTGGGGAGGGAAGCGGTGCCTCCCCCCAGCTCCAGCCGGGGGCTGTCAGTGCCTAGGGGCCCGCTCTGTCCCCCAGCCCCATTCCCCGCGAGCCACGGTGCCATAGGGAGGGGCCGGAGCCCCCCCTCGCGGCCGGACAGGCGGGGCTCCCAGCTTGCACCGCCGCCCTCCCACCTACGTGGCAGCGGCCCCAGCAGCAGGCTCCGCTCCGAACCCCCTGCACGCCCGGCCCGGCCCAGCCCGGCCCCATGCGCCGCCTGCTCCTGCTCCTGCTGCTGGCGCCGCTGCGCGCCTACGAGCCGGACTGGGGGAAACTGCAGGGGCTGGCCCGGGGCAAGGTGGAGGTAACGGCGGGGGCTCGGGGAGCCGAGCGGGGGGCAGGCCGGGCGCTGGGGGGATCGGGGGGCAGGCCGGGCGCTGGGGGGGATCGGGGGGCAGGCCGGGCCCTGGGGGGATCGGGGGGCAGGCCGGGCGCTGGGGGGGATCGGGGGGCAGGCCGAGCCCTGGGGATATGGAGAGCGTCCTGCAGGGACCTGGGGTGTTCAGGCAAGACGCGGGGAGGGGCGTCCTGCCTCCCCGGCCCGTGTCTTGGGGCAGCCCTCTCCCCAGGCTCTCCCCGCCCCAGCCAGGGGGACCCCGTGAGCAGGCTGCTGTGGCAGTGCTTGGAACCCGCGTAGCCGGGGTTGGGGGAGGCTGATCCCCGGGGGGCTGGAGCAGGACCGCCCGCAGCCGGTCGCTCGCACCGAGCAACGAAGCCAGGCTGCTGCCTGGGGCGAGGAGCACGGGCCGGGCCGGGCCGGAGGCAGCAGGGGCAGGAGTGAGAGCCCAGCTGGACCCAGAGCCTGCCCCTCCCTGTGCCGCGGGGGTCTGCCTAACCCCCTGGGCGGGGTACCCCAAATCCTTCTGCGGGGAGATGGGCTTGAACCAGAACTGCGATCTGAGCGCCCCAGACTGTGTGGGAGACGAGCTACCCACTGGGTCCAACATCCACCCAGCAATTAACCAGGGGCAGGTGGCCATCGGCTTCCCCCACCCCCTGATCCCAGAGAGGGGTCCCCAGGTCGCAGGGAAGCTGGGGAATGGCGGGGGTGGGTGTGTGGATCACCTGGGGCAGGGGTTCCATTTATCCATGAGCAGCAGTCAGTGCTATGGGGCAGCTGGGTGGAGACCACACACCAGTGGAAGGTGGGGAGAGGCACAGCCCAAGCAGGGATGAACCCCCAAACTCTGCTTTGGGGAGGGGATGGAGCATCCCTGTGAGTTCCCCTGGAAACCATTAATGTGACCTGTTACTAGGACAACCTGATGTGTGCTTCATTACCATAGCAACCAGGCATTCTGCTTCTCCTGGCGACCTGGCGGAGCCCAATGTGGGGCAGGGGCAGGCTGGGAGGGGCTGGGTCCAACTAGGAGCAGTCCACCATGCCCAGGGGAGGAGAGGAAGGGTGACCCCATGGCTGGGGCCGAGAACTTGGGGACCCCTGCTCTGCCACAGGCTCCTTGTGGGACCCTGGCAATTCACTGTCTGACCTGGGGGTGTAAGCCCTGCCCAGCCCCAACCCATTACAGACTGGGAGGAGCTCAGATACTCTGCTGATGGGGACCATAGAAGGACCAGCTGGGTCTGGGTGGGGGTCAGTGAGATGGAGTAGAGGGCAGGGTGGGGCCTTGGGATCTGGGAAGTGCCCTACAGAGGGGTGGTGGGGATGGAGTGGGTGCAAGGGGATGGGGGAGGGTTGAAGCCAGATTGAGGCGGTTATAAAAGGGATTACTGGGGGCAAAGGGCACGTGGGGCTGGGGAAGCAGGTTACAGGTGGGGCTGCAGGGCGATGCGGTTGCTGGTGCAATTGCAGGGGGGATAGTGGGGAGATTGCAGTGGGGTTAGGGGGTGGCGTGAGGGGCTGGGGGCAGCTCTCACTCCCTGTGCTCTCCCTTTCCTTCAGACCTGCGGAGGATGATGGCTCAGCCGCCTGAAGGAGGTGAGTGCTGCCACGCCCTGGCCGGGGACACAGGGAACGAGCTCCACCCCCTCCACTGGGCTGCTATGCAGGAGACTGGGACACCCCCTTGGCCTCCTCCTGGGGTCCTTCCTCCCCCAGGCACTGCTCGTGTTGGTGCCAGGCCTATCACCGTGCTTTGCCAAACCCCTCTGCCAGGGTGGTGGGGCAACCCCTCCCCCACAGGGGTAAGGGCAGCTCTGGCAGGATGGGCAGGTGCACAGGTCTCATGCAGCCTCCTGCTTTCCCTGGGGGTTCTGCGGTGTGGGGGAGCCCTCCTGGCCCCTTTGGGGTGTGTGTCTCGGGGGCAGCACTCATCTCTGCTCCCTTCCAGGTGAAGGCCTTTGTCACCGAGGACATCCCTCTGTAGTATCCTTTTCTGCTCCAGGGCTGGGCCAGGCTGTGGATGGGGAGGGGGCTGGCAAACCCAGGATTTGGCTCCAAGATCACATTTGCAGCCTGCAGGGCTGTGAACCCCTGTGCATATCAGTGGGTCTGTGGTGCCTGCCTGAGTCTGCAGACAGCCTGTGCCAAGAGCTCCCATTCACCCCAATTGGATGTTGACTTTGGAGCCTGATGACCGTTTGCCACTAACCTGCCCAGCACTGTGGGATGCGGTGGTGGCTTCTGGGGACAGCTGGCTGGTGTCCAGAGCTGCGGGGGATGGGGGATATGAGATCAAGCTCCCTTTACCCTCAGAAATAGCATCAAGTCCCTGTGTCTGGGGGGGAGGGGAAGCAGAGATGCTGTACCCCAGAGGCAGATGCTCAGCCACCTGCTGGAGGCTAAACCCCAAACTGCCTCCCACCACGTCTGGGGCCAGAGCCCCAGCCCCCTGCTTCCCCAGCCCCCAGGCCCTGCTGGACACTGTGCTAGGGCTGGTGTCATCCCAGGAGCTAGCCCAGGGAGTATCACGTCAGCCAGGGGCCCATGCCCTGCTCTCCCAGCCCAGCGGACACAGAGGACCCTGCAACTTCCAGGCATGGGACTCCCCCAGGTCCGAGTCACCCAGGCCATAATCAGTGGGATGCTGATGCCAGGCCAGGGCCCTGCCTCCTCACTGCCAGGATCCTTAAGGGCACCTTCCAGCCACAACCTGGTGATGAAGCATCTCCCCGGAGCCGACCCTGAGCTTGTGCTGCTCAGCTTCAGATACGAGGAGCTGGAAGTAAGGGCTGGGTGGGTGTGGGGAAGGAGGGGTGCTTCTGGGTACTTTTGTCCCAGCCTCTCCCAGCAGGGGGCACTGCGGGGAGCAGGGTGGGAGCTCTGGCTGTAGGGGAGCTCCCGGCTGCTTGTCCCAGCAGGGGATGCGTTCTACAGTCAGCTTATAAAGCCAGTGGGAGGCTGCCTGCCTGTGCAGGCCCAGCCGTAGGTGCCCATGGTGCTGGACGGACAGGAGCCCTGGTCCTAGCTGTGGGAGGGAGCTGAGCCTGCAGGGGCATGAGTTGCTGGCCCAGCTGTGACTAGCTGCAGGCCAGTCGGTGCTGGGCCGGGGCTGCTGGTCATCCGGCACTGCAATCCCTGTCTTTTTGCAGAGAATTCCCCTGAGTGACATGAGTCGGGAGGAGATTAACCAGCTGGTGCAGGAGCTGGGATTCTACCGCAAGGAGGCACCTGATGCCCCAGTGCCTGAGGAGTTCCAGCTCGCCCCAGCCAGGCCTCTGCCCACCCTGCAAACGAAGGAGCAGGGCCCTGGAACACCCTCCCCACCAGCTCCCGCAGCCAAGAGCAAGCCCCCCAGGAAGCCTGACAACCAGGAACACCCAGATCTATAGCCAAAAGTGTGCATGGGGGTGTGTGCCTGTGGAATGAGTGTACATGGGGGGGTGGGTGTGCATGCTCGGAGTGTATGGACTGTACACCCACCTCACTGGTAGGTGTGACACAGCTTCTGCCCCCCACAATATGTTCTGTACCAGCCCTGGGTCAGCTGCCCAGCCCCATGGCTGTTAACAGGCAGTCCCGTGGCACCCAGACCAACCTGCTAGTGCTTCTGTGCTGTGCATCAGTGCCCCCTGCCTGCAGGGACAGAATGAAGCCCTCAGCTGAAAGCTCTGGGTGCTGAGGGTGGATGAGCTGAGTCCCAGAGGGCCCGGGGTCGCTGCATGCTGGGCAGCATGGGCAGGCTCCCTGCCATCTGTGCTGTGGTCCAAGGGCTTGTGTCCAGAGCTGGAATAAAGGCCCCTTCACCCCACGAGTTGCAGTGTGTCATCTTCTTCCTGGGCGGGTCTGTCAGAGCCCTATCCCCCGGGTGCATTAGGAGGATCCTGTCCCATGCAGCTGGCTGGCCCAGCACAGCTGTAGCCAGTGGGGGATGGGAGCGGCTGGTGGTCCTCGCAGGCTGGGCCAGCTTGGGGGGGGAAGCGACACAGCCCCTCCCAGCTCATTACAGCAAACACCACCCCCACCCCCTGTCAGCACAGATGAGGGCTCTGGGTGGAGGTTGCGGGGAAACCAGCACTGTAGTCAGGCTGTGGCTGGTGGCTCCAAGGGGCAGGGCTCAGACCAGACCTGTGGCTTTTAGGGGCTAGTCCTGGCTGCCTGGACCCAGTTGCCCCCTGCTGGCTCCCCAGCTGCAGGGGAGGAAAGCCCCCTTGCTGAGGCTGGCCATGGGGCAAGGCCAGGGCCCTTGCTGATTGACAGAGCAGGAGCTGCGGCCTGCAGAAGAGCCAGGGGCCGAGGTGGGGTCTGCCTTATGTCCAGGAAATGGGTTGGGGAGCCTTGCAGGGTGCTCCTCACCAGGAACTGGACAGCAATCTTGCTAACTACACAGCTCCACTCCCTCCGCACTGGGAGATGCTCTCCCAGCCTGTGCTGGGGATCTCGGCCATGGGCTTTAGCCAGTGAGGAGGGGGAGGACGAGTGTCTGAGCTGAGAGCCAGAGCAGAGGGGATGGGAGTGTGGCTCAGCCAGGAATACACCCAGCATTAAGACACCCCAGAAACAGTGCAGCCTCCTCAGGTGCAGCATGGCTTCAGAAGCCCCCCATACCCCACACTTGGCCCCTGCAGGAACCTGGACACCAATGGGGCAGTGGGATGGTGCAGGTGGAAGGACCTCCTACCCCTAGACTACAGCCCTGCTGGTTGTTCCAGGAGGCCCCCATCCCTCTCATCCCACCGGGATCTACTTTGCAGTCATAGCCACGGGGGTGGGAGAGGGGATGGAAAATAGGGGGTAGGGCTATCACAGGCGAGCTGGTGGTGGAGAGGGGAGCAGGGCAGAGGGACTGGGGCCACCCACACCTGCCTGCTGGCAGGGAAAGGAGCTGGCCAGGCCGGAACTGGGCAGAGCTGCAGATGAGAGCGTGCAGGGCCCTTCCCCTAAAGGAGAGGAAGGCACACTGTGTGCAGGCCCCATGCCTCCCCCCACGCAGGCAACGGGACAGTAGCAGTGCTAACCCAGGCAGCCTGCAGAGCCAGGGCAGTGGGAAAAGGCCCCACTACATCACCACAGCCAGCCCTCTGCCCAGGGCAGGCAAGGAGCAGAGGCCAGGCCCTGTATAACAGAACTTTATTGTCTGGCTGGTGCTGATACAAGTGTCTATGGGGGTGTAGAAATGGTTACACAATTGGCTAGTGGCACTTGGTGCAAAGGGCCCAGAGCCAGGTCGGAGGGCTAAGGAAACAAGTGGGAGGTGCCAAGCCCCGGGGGGGCTGCCCCACTGGGAAAGGCCTGCCCCAGGAGCCCACCCCCTCACCGGGTTCCAGTCCATCTCCCCAGGGCAAAGGGAATGTGGGTCCCAGCAATGGCGGTGCCTCCTAGGGGTGGGGGTGAGCAGTAGGGCAGCAGCGTGCCAATGTGGGAACTGCCCCCAGCTGTGGGCACAGTGCTGAGTGTGGAGGTCCCCAAGGGAGAGGGCTGCAAGCAGGAGTGTGAGCAGCACCCTTCTGGAGTGCCAAGGAGGGCAACTCCCCCCAAGGGCAGCGAACCCGCCCCCCCCCCCCACACACACACAGAGACCAGCTACCCAGGCCTCAAGCCCTGGAGGAAGCAGGGCAGTGGGGGACACTCACTCACCTGCCCATGTAACTCCAGTGACAAACCCCTGGGCCAGGTGTCTACAGCACCATGCCAGCCCATTGCCACTACGCAGCACACAGGCCCAAACAGCCAGCCTGAGACGTACACAGGGCTCTCCCAGCCCAAGTGGGGTCGGGGGTATTGCACAGCATAAAAACAATTCCTTTAAAATGAATAACTTAAAACAATATAAAGCACAGGACAGAGGGGTGAGAGCCAAGCTGGCAGGGGGACCAGGCCAGGGACCATGGGGGCTCAGCTTGCCATGGAGAAGATTGAGGGAGCTCGCAGCATGGCCAGGGGGCAGAGCACAGACAATGCAGGACCAGTCTCAGCCTCACCCAGGCCCTGCGGGGCAGCCTGGTGGCTGGGCAGGTCTGCTGGGGGTGGGCAGCCTGGTGGCTGGGCAGGTCTGCTGGGGGTGGGCAGCACCCCTCTGCACACCTGGGTCCCTGCAGGGGCAGTGTGGGTCTATTTACTCTGCAGCCGTGCCCAGGACGGGGGGGGGGGGCAGGACGGGGGGGCTCTAGAACTCTTTCTGCCGCAAGCGTAACTCATGGCGCCGCAGGTGGTTGTAGAGGGACTGCACGTAAGTGAAGACGCACTTGGAGTCCGGCCTCTTCCCCATGATCATCATGTCTTCCACCTCCACCAGGGGCATGCAGTCAACCAGCATCCTGCGGGGAGAGGGCAATGAGCATGGTACACAGGACCACAGGCATGACTGCCTCCTGCAGGCCAGACCCTGCCCTGCCAAGAGCCCTTGCAGCCCCACTGCTCACCCAGCCTCCCCTCTGCTGAAACCCCACACATGCCTGGTCCCAGCCCCCAAGCTCCAGGCCTTGCTCAGATCCTGCCTGGCCCCCCGCTCACAGGCACTAGCCCACCACCCAGGGCTCCCTCCACAACCAGCAGCCCTCTGGGCCCAGCTGGCATGGGTAACCCTGGTGCATCAGCCTCTCCTTTCAGGTAAACATCTCAGACAAATGCACGCCCAGGCGGGTGGTGTGCCCACCAGCCCAGCTTCTCCCTAGGTCCTGCCCACACGACCCACTGCCCAGAACCTTGGCCCTCACCAGCCAGCCAGGGCCTTGGCCCCATCACCCCCACAGCTGGCACCTGCCACATATCCCGCTCTCTCTCCTCACAGCCCTCCTTGCCTCCCCCCCCCCCCCACATCCCCACCCCTGCTCCTCTCCATCTGAGCTGTGACCTGGCCCCATGCCCACTCACCTCAGCTGCCTGGCTCCAGGGGCCTCCTGCTCAGCTGCAGGCCCAAGGCTAGGGCCCGTTGCCTTTAAACTTTGGCCCTGACTTGAGGGCAGCTGTGCTCACAGAGCCCCAGGCCATCCCACACACCCCTGGCCTCTCGGCTCACCTCCAGCCTGTGGTGCCCAGAGGGGGCCGTGCCCTCAGCCTGTGTGTGAACCTGTGCTTGGGATATGCCCACAGAAAGGGGAGCTCCCCCAACCCATCTGGGGAGCTGACATGCCACCCCTCCCTGTCGCTGACCTGTCTCCCTCCTCAGTTCCCACCCCTTGGGTCCCATGGCAGCCTCCTCTCTCCTCTGGCCCCCCTGACAGGAACGGGGCAGCCTGCAGCTTTAGCTCCAGCACCAGCATGGGGGTGGCAGGCACCCGGAATAAGGGCAGATGTTTGCATGAGCCCCTGACCACACACCGCTCAGGACTTGCCCTATGTTTGAGCTGCATGTCAGCACTCGCCCCCTCCACCCACAAGAGCCTCCTCCCCCACACTTCCTCCCTGTGCTCCCTCATCCCCTCCCACCCTGTGGCCAAGGGCAGGCTGTGCCCAGCTGAGAACACAGCAGCAGGACCTGCCACCAGCCTGTGCCCCCATTGCATGCCCTGCTGCTGCCACCATGTCCCCTTCGCCCCAGGATGGGCGAGTTCCTTTCTCCACAGGCCCAGCCTATCAGCCCCCCCCCCCCACCATGTGCACAATCATCCCACCGCAGCAGGTGCCCTGGGCAAAGAGCCTGATCCGGCTAGTGCCCTCAACTCCTATCCTCATGTCCGCAGGCTGAGGGCTTGGGCAGATCGCAGGGTTAGGTCCAGGGTAGCCCAAGGCCTCCAAAGGCCTCAGGCACTGCTTCCCCACCCCTCCCACTTCCCCAGCTCTGGAAGTCAACGGTGGCTGAGGAGGCTGCTGGTCTGCCCCCCAACACTCCTGATTGCAAACTGCCCCGTTGGTAACCAGTGCAGCTGGCTGCCTGCTGGCCTGCGTGCCAGGCCTATGCCATGCTGCCTGGGGCCTATGGGTACACTCCAGCCTTCCCAGATTCACCCTCCTCTCCCAGGCCCAAGAAGCCAATTTCTTTGCAGCTCCCCAGCAGAGGCTGCGACTCCATCAGCCCTGGGTTCAGGCTCGCCCCTGGTGTCCCAGCAGGATTTTAAGACCTGCTGGGATACAAGCTAGGGGAGTGAGTGGGTGCAGATGGGCAGACTAGGTACTGCATGGGCAGAGGCAGGCACATCCCACACTGCCAATCCATACACCTCACCGAGGCCCAGCCAGGTGCCCTCCATGGCTGCTCAGGCCCCAGAGCCCATTCAGTCCTCCTGCTCTGGGAAGGATGCTGGCGGGTGGGAGCCCAGGCAGGCCGGAGCCCAGGCAGGCCTGGGCTTGCGACCTGCAGCACCGGAATATGTGTAACAGCAGCACGATTACGAGTGCTATACCAGCCCCTCACCTGCCGCATGGGCACATAGCGCCTCTCACCTCCCCAGGAGAGGCTGCAGGGGGAAGCTGCAGCAGAGACAGATGATGTTGTAGCAGTGTGGACAGACAGACCAGGCTGGGCATGGCCCAGACTCTGCACCCAGCAGGACCTTGTTGGCCCATAGCCCCAGCACAGGCTCCCGGAGTCAGATTCTGCTGGGAGCCATTGGCACTAGCCACAGGGCCACAGCAGCTGTTGCAAGCAGTGCAGGTAAGGGGAGGTGGCAGCTTCCCCGCCGGCTGGCCAGGCTCTGCTACCTGGGACTGGAATGGGGGGAGTGGATTTTAATGGGGCACGTGGCTAAATCATGAGGCAATAGTGGGGGAGCACTGGGGCTCTGCAGAGATGCCAAGCCCCCCAGCAGAGAGCAGCCCTGCCCGGAGCACAGGAGGGGCAGGCCTGAAGGAATGGAGTTGACGTGGTAACCCAGTGCCACGCCTTGCCCAGCTCACACTCAGGGGAGATCTGTGCCTTCAAGTCCACTCAGGCCCATCTGACATCCCAACTGCAGAGGGAGCAAGGGCTGGTGGGGTGAGCACAACCTGGAGCCAGCATCCCCCTCCCCCTCCCCAGTGCTGGCACAGACTTCCCGTGCAGCCAGCGGCAGTTCACAGGCCTGGTGTGTGCTGAGGTGAGACCGAGGGCCCAGGTGGCTTGTGCCTGTGAAGTGCTGTGAGATCCCTATGTGGGAGTGGTGGAGGGGGACAAAGGATCCCTCTAGCCCCAGACATCAGCCCCTTCTGCTGAACAGGCCTGGGCCCCCGGTGCTCTGAGGGCATAGGGCAGCAGGCTGGGAGACACCTAGCAGCAGGAAGGAACAGCGCCCAGCGGTGGCAGCTGCAGGTACAGCAGCAGGCTGCTGTGTAGCCAGAACCCAGGACCCCATCCATTCACTGGGAAAAAGCCCCACAACACCAAAGCCCCCTTCCCACCCCGTCTGTCTGGGCACTGGCGCCCCTTAGCACTGAGCAGCGAGGGCACGGCCTGGAGGCTGGGAGAGCCTGGCCCATGCCACCAGCATGTGCGCAGCACAGCCTGGAGGTGCTTGGCCCAGCCAGCTCCCTGGCAGGGGCTGAGGCAAAGCCCAGCTGACCACACCCCTGGTGCCCAGGGCAGGCGCCCTGTCAGCAAGTGGCTGATTCCCTAGGAGCCAGGGGCCAGGCCTTCCCTGCACTGCTCAGGCCCGGGGCAGAGCCCAGAGCAGGAAATCCCCCCAGCTAGCCCTGCAGGGGGAGGGACCTGCCCCCAGGGCATCAGAGAGCCCATGCCTGACTCCCCTCACAGAGGCAGGGGAGCGCCTGCTGCTGGCAGCAGAGTACCTCTCACCTGCAGCATTAAAACAACAGCACCACGCAGAGAGTAGGTACCAGCCCCCTCCCCCAAGCTCAGCCCCACAAAGCCTTAGAGGGAGGAGCCTCACCCCCCCAACCAGCCCACCCTCTTCCTGCACAGTGCTGGGAGCTGGGCCGCAGGACTGACACCACCCAGAAACCTTCCAGCCAGGAAGCTCCACGTGCTGCCCAGCCACTGATTAGCCCCTTCAGCATCCTCCCACCTCTGCAGGTGGGGAAACCGAGGCACCGCTTGCCCAAGGTCACACAGTGAGCCATGGCAGAGCTCCAACCACCAGCCGTTTGCTGCCGACAGTTCCCAGCATGCACCCCTTGCAGTGTGTTATTCTGCCAGCCCAGGCCGCCGGGGCGGGGCAGCCAGTCAGTTGTGGGCTGCTGAGATGGACTCGGGGCCTGCACTGCTGGGACAAGAAGTGAAGGGACGCTGGCTTGCGACAGAACAGAGGGGAGCGGCTGCGCACGACTGCACCCAGCTGCAGAGCCCGGCTCCCCCTCAGCCAGGGACACAGCAGCCAGCTGGGGCCCACACAAGAACCTGTGCTGAGCTGGCTGCCCCACGGCCCTGCAGTCCGGGCTTCCCACCCCAGCCTCCTGGTCTCGCCCCCACCTGCTGATCTGCACAAAGGGAGGGCTCAGCAGGCGGGCAGGGCTGTACACCCGGAAGGGGGGCAAGGGCTCGGTGTACACACGGTACCCAGCCCTCTGCCACACCCCGCTCGGCACCCCCTGCCAGGATGCTGGCGCTGGGAGTGAAAGGGGCTTGCTGGCCAGCGGCTTCCAGGCATTTGGCCGAAAGTGCCAGGAGGGGGCAGGCACCTCCTGCTCCCCTCCCTCAACAGTGCCTGCTTGCTTCCACCAGCACGGGCATGGAGAGGGGATGTGAGAGCCAAGACTGGCACAGGGTCTGCTGGGCACTCAGCACAGAGCACCGGTGCTGGGGGTAAGGGCTTCTGCCCCCCCATCCCTGCCCACTTTACGCCAGGGGCCCTCTGCCCTGCAGCTCCCCACTCATACAGCTGTGGTGATGCCGTCCCATCCTGCTCCAGGCCAAGGCCCCGTACGGTTCTTTCAATGCACTGAGTCCTGCGCTGCAGCAGAGAGCGGGCGATCACTGCAGTGACATCTCCAGCCTGGGGGGCCCTCCTGGCTCTGGCCGGCTTGGCGCCTAGGTGACCCCGGCCAGCACCTGCTGCTCCCCTTGCTTCCAGCGCCTCTGGAAATGCAGCCCCAGGCAGCTGGTTCGCCCCCTCCCCTCCACGGGGCACTCAGGCACAGGCCCGGCTGGGTTTGTGATGGAAAAGCTTGAGGCAGCCTCAGGAGAATCCCTGCCCTTATAAAGACATAGCTGAACCTGCAACGTGCTCAGCGCAGCACGGGGCCCGCGTGCCGGGGAGGCTCCAGCAGGAGCAGAGATGCCCCCAGACAGGCCCAAACACTAACAAGGAGCAGCGTGATGGACATGCCTGAGTCACACTTTCCAGGCTCCCTGCTCCCATTGCCTGCCCATATATGACTAGGAGGGACTTTGCAGCGGGAGGGCTCGCTCACCTCGCCTGATCCCCGGCTCAGCCTCTGCTCAGCCCCGCAGCCTCACTGCCCTGGGCCGGGGGCTGGGAGCGTGTGCTGGGGACGAGAACTCTGCTCTTGCGGGACACAAAGACTGAGGAAGCACCAGGCCCAGGAGTTCACTGGCCCCCTGGCCTTGCCAGAGGGGAGCCAACCCAACTCAAGCATGAGCAATGGGGCATGGAGGGAGCCACTCTGCCAGCCCTTGATCCAGCCACAGGCTGCTCCAGCACAGTGGGAAGTGTAATTAAAGCAGCAGTTCGGAACAGCCACCCCTGCCCCAGATCCCGGGCTCAGAGAGCTGGGGAAGGAAATCTCGTCAGGGCACCCCTCCTCCTGGCGGGGAGCAGCCGGCCAGGGTCCAAGGCTAAGGCTCAGCCCGAGTTTTACGCTGGGGTGCGATGTCCTCTTCCCCTCCCCAGTCCCCATTCTAGATGCTGACACTCTGGCAGTGTTTCTGGACAACCCTGGCTGAGGTCAGAGTCAGTCTGGCGCCCTGACATCTGGCCTGCTCTCTGGGAAGAGGGGTATGCCCCCTGGACCCTCACCCCACGGATGGCAGGACTCACCCCCTCTCCCCTCACCTTCTGCACAGATGCACCCAGGCCTTGCCAGGTTCACCCCTGCCCTGCCCACTAGCCCCCAACTCAGCACAGCACAACCAGGCCCCTCGCTGCCCCCTCCTGCCAAGGGCACTGCCAAGCCGGGGCTGGACGGTAGATTGAGAGGAAGATTCTCACCATCGCTCCCGGGGGTGTAAATAGGCTACGACTTTTTGGTTTTTACCAGCCCCTTCTGGACCAGGCAGCGATAGAACTCCTGAATGTATGTGTACACACACTTCCAATCCGGCTCGCGCATCCGGACCATGTCCTCCACGTCGAGCAACTGCGGACAGTCTGCGTGCTTCCTGGGGGCGGGGGGAAAGGGGGAGCGAGTGATCACAGCCCAGTCCGGGGGAGGGAGAGGGGGGAAGAGAGAGAGAGAACAAGAGAAACGTATCAATCCAATTCACATTCCCCTGGTGCCATAACAACGCTCCAGTTCACACATGCTCTGGGGAGGGTGCGTAATGCGGAGGGGGGGGCATTCCCAGGTACCGCTGCACTAATGGCACTGTGAGACTAACAGGAATCGGGGCTACACAAGCACAGCCAGGGGAGTCATAGGTGCGGGAGCGTGAGGTCCAGGCGTGAGGAGATCCAGAGCGGAAGAACAGAGTGAGACAGAGGAGGAGAGGAAGGGAGTGAAGTGCTCTGGCGCCAACCAGTGGTTGAGGAGCGGATTCCAGAGCGGAGCAGCTCTCTATATAGCTGCGTATATAGATGGGGTGGCAGAGGGGAAGGCCCAGCTCCTCCTTGCCTGGCTCCGCTTGGAATCGGTGCAAGAAGCTCACCGAGGGCTAGAGGGGGAGGAAGGGGAAGGGCCACCTGGCTTCCAGGCCGGAGGGATCGATTGCTCTCATGGTCCACTCACCGGTCCCCGTTAAGGCAAAAGGTATAATTAATAGGAAGGCGGAAGTCCCGGCACACGCACCTGTTTGCTGTACCCTGTGCGGACTGGAAAAAAGAGCACTTGGGCCCTGGGGAGCTGGCACCCACGCTCCGTCTGGGGCCACCTGGCCCCCAGACATCATCCCCGGCAGGGCAGCCTGCACGGGCCAAGGGAACTCGGAGATCCCCTCCAACACACACACGCACATCCCCAGCCTGCGGAGACACTGGAGGAACTAGCCTGCCGCTGAAGGGAAGGAGGGATAGGTGGGTGGATGGATGGAGAGACAGAAGGAAGGAAAGGGGCTGACAGCCTCCAGCTGGACCGGCTCCCTTTTCTCAGCACCTCAGGAAACCAGAAGCAAAAAGGGGGCGCTCAGGAAGCTGCAATAGCGCCCCAGCCCCCGGGGCAGGCCCCAACCCTCGGGGCGGGCTCCAGCCCCCAGCCGCCCGGGCTGCAGCGCTGCACCGCACCAGGGCCCCCACCAGCCTTACCATCCCCTCCCTACTCGACGCCAGTCAAGCCCCAGGCAGCTTGAGGGGCCTCGGCCTGCACAGGTTTTGCTCCAGCGTTCAAGCAGTTAGAAGAGGGGGACGGAGGCAGGGGAAGGGGCTCCGTGCGCCCAGGGTTAGCCAGGGAAGGCCAGCCACTGTTGGTGCTCAGCTGCATGGCGGGGCAGCGGCTGCCGGTTATGGGGAAGGAGCTCTCTGGGGAATCATTCGGTCCCTTGCGAAGGCTGCTCCAGGGCCATCTCAGCGATGCTTGGGGCTCTGAGTGTTACGGGGCGAGAGGGGTTTGGCCCAACATCTCTGCACTGAGCACTGGGCTGCGTTGGCTTCCTATGCACCTGCACGGACGTCGCTTTGCCCAGCGTCAGGCCAGAGCAGCCACGCACGGCATGCTGGGAAGCAGCAGAGCCAGCCTGAGAGCCCCAAGCACGTGGCAGGGCAGCAGGGAGCTGGCTCAGCTCAGAGGAGAGGCAGCCCTAGGGGCACTTGCTGCTTCCCTGCGCCAGCCTTAGCAGGGCAGTGCCATGCTCCTGACCCAATGGAGCTGAGCTCGAGGCAGGGACCCAGCCCCGGCCCGCATTGCACACTGGGGAGGGGAGGGGGACGTACTCTGCCGAGGAGAAGGCCACCTCAAAGTTGCGGCGGCGGTTCTGGGGCGTCAGCTGTGTGTAGTCGAAGGCCTCGGGGAAGAAGTTGTGGACGAGGGCACAGAAGGCCATGCCGTCGCTCCAGCTGGAGGAGAAGTTCTGGATGTCCACGTGCTGTGGGACAGAGGCAGGGTCAGGAGAGGGAGCAGGCCCCAGCCTGGCTAGAGGCTGGGAGGAGAGCAGGCCCTGGCCAAGAGCCGAAGGGGATGGGGGACCGGGGTGGGGACTAGAGCCTGATCCAGCCAGGAATCGGGGTGAAGGGCAGGGGAAAGGAGAAGCCAGCCTGGCCAGGAGCTGTAGGGGAAGGAGGGTGGTGGTGAGCAGGGCCTGCTGCTGCTAGGAGCCCTGATAGGATTGCCAACTTTCTAATTGCAGAAAACTGAATACCCTTGCCCTGCCCCACTCCCTCCTTCACCCTCCCTCCTGTCACTCGCTCTCTCCCACTCTCGCTCACCTGCTCAGTTTCACCAGGTGCAGGAGGGGGTGAGGGCTCCGACTGGGGATGCAGGCTCTGGGGTGGGGCCAAGGCTGATGGGTTTGGGGTGCAGGAGGGGGGCTCCAGGCTGAGGCAGGTGGTTGGGGTGTGGGAGGGCTGGCTCTGGGCTGGGGGTGCGGGCTCCGGGGTGAGGCCAGAAATGGGGGGTTCAGGGTGTGGGAGGGAGCTCCGGGCTGGGGAAGGGGGTTGCAGTGTGTGTGTGGTCGGGGGGGGCCTCTGGGGGGAGGGGGAGGTCCCGATGTGGGCTCTGGGCAGCGCTGACTTCAGGCAGCTCCTGGAAGCGGCTGGCATATCCCTCCTGCTCCTAGGTGGAAGGGCCAGGTAGCTCTGTGCCCCTGCTCTGTGCTCCCATTGGCCACACAGTTCCCAGCCAATGAGAGCCAGCGCCTGCAGGCAGGCACAGTGCACAGAGCCCCCCGGTGGCCCCTCTGCCTAGGAGCAGGTGGGACATGCCAGCCACTTCCGGGAACCACGCAGAGCCAGGCAGGGAGCCTGCCAGCTCCACTGCACCGGCACCACCACCAACCAGACTTTAAACAGCCTGGCCAGCGGTGCTGACCGGAGCCTTCAGGGTCCCTTTTCAACTGGGTGTTCCGGACCTGGCAACCCAAGCCCCAGAGGATGGGGGGCAGGGAGTGGGCCCAGCCTGGCCAGGAGCTGCAGGGGAAGGGGGGCACTGACCTCATAGCCCCGGGTCTTCGCTCTGCACCAGTCCAGCAACATCTGCTTGATGCTGTTGGCGTTGGGGACACCGAAGCTCGAGGAGCGCTGCACGGCGACCCGCGACATGGCCGGGCTCGAGGGGCTACGGGGAGCACACACAGCATGTTGGTTGACTTCCCACGGTATCGGCCCACCCCAGCCCAGCCGCACCCAGCGCCCTCACCTCCCGCTCTCCTTCTCCAGCTTCTCGATCATGGCCTTCCGCGCCTGTGTGGCCGACGTCTTGGGCAGGCTCTGAGCCTTCAGCAGCTCCTTCTTCTTCTCAGCCTGGCGCCGCTCCAGAGCAGCCAGACTGCCCTGGCGCGAGCTGCTCTCGTCCTCGCGGTCAAAGATGCTGGGAGAGGGAGAGAGACAGACTCAGCATGGAGGGAGGTCTCTGTTCAGCCAGGTCCCAACAGCACCCGGGGAAGGGGTGCAAGGATCTCTTCAACTCCGCCCAGGGGGGCCGAAGGAGCAGCTGCAGCTCCCCAGACTCAGCTGCAGGCGAGGGTGCTCAGCCCAGGAATGCAGGCCCAGAGGTCTCAGCTGGGCCCCCCAAACCGGGGGAGAATCTGCCTTCATGTGGCAGCGACGACACTACTCAGGGTTGTGGGAGCCTTAAATCAGTGGGGTCCGAGATCCCCAAGTGACAGGCACCGGGTTCTCCTGGCCCTCCAACAGTGCAGTGGACACTCCACCACATGGGACATCACAAGACCCCCAAAGGCTGACACCCCGCAGGACTGCTGGAAGGACAGGTAGCAGGCTGGGTGACAGCAGCTGCTCTGGGGGGTGGAGGGTAGCCAAGGTCGCTGACCTTTGAGGACACCGAAATACAATGGGTAAAGGCCTGTGCCACCCATGGATCCCAGCAGGGGGGGCAAGCGGCCCACACTGAGCTGCCATGCCTTTCTCCACCTTCCCCAGGGCACAGGAGCTCTCCCAGAGGGCACTGCCCATTCAGCAGGGGGTCACTCACCTGCCCACCTTCTTGGATGAGGAGCTGTAGGAGGATTTGGTCTGGACGAACGTGCTGCCATCTGCAGAGGCAAGGAGAAGAACCTCAGACACTGAGGGAGGTAGTGGGAGCTGTCTTTTCCCTGTGTCTGGCGCTGCCCAGAGGCGCTGCAGCCTGCTTCCACCAGGGCCCAGCACCAACGGGCAAGTGGTTGCCCCTCCCGCCCATCCCAGGACTGAGCGCCCAGTGCCAACGGGCAAGCGGGTGCCTGCCCCCCCTCCCCCGGGGCTGAGCGCCCAGCGCCATTGGGCAAGCAGGTGCCCCCAGAGGAAGGGGGAATTGCCACCAGGCGGCAGGAGAGCAGGCCAGAAGGGGGCAAAGGGCCCTTACTCTCTGATCGCTTTGTGTAGCTCGACTCCACTGTTGTCATACGGGAGGTTCTGGTGCCGTCGTCTGCAAAGGGAGGAAAAGACAAAGAAGGGTCAGCCAGGGTGGGGTGAGGCCAACACCTACAGCACCCGCCCCTGGAGAGGGCAGGGCCAGACGGACGGCATGGCTGCAGAGAGGCAGCTGAGCAAGGCCAGCAAGCTCCACAAAGGCCAGGCTGATGGGCGTGTGTGCAGCAGGCTCCAAAGACAACACAGAGTACGGGGCAGAAAGAGGCAGGGAGGCCCAGCCTGGCGGCAGGAGATGCAGAGAAGGCTCTGCCCCAGCCTGGAGAGAACAGGCCAGTGGCAGTGAACGAAAGGAGCAGAGGCAGTATAAAGCCAAGGCAGGCTTCTCCAAGGAGAGCGCCACCCAGCCAGAGCCTGGCCTGGCCGGGAGCCAGAGCAGTTGGTGGAAGGGCCCATGTGGCCAAGCTTCCTTGTATGCCTGAAAAGGCAGGTGGCAACAGGAAGGAACCGTAAGAGCCAGGGCTCCTTGAGCCACAGGCATAGGAAGGAAGGTGCAGCTGATGGCAGGGTGCACAGGCCAATGGGGGAGAGAACAATCCCAGCCCTGGGGGGAGGAGGAGGCTGTGCTGGACAGAGCCCCTTGGGCAAGGCTTGCTGGAGGAGCTGGCCGCCTGAGTTCATGCCAGCCTGGGCAGCGGCTGCTGGCAGGTAGAGGAAGCGCAGGAAGGGACAGGTGAGGCCAGGGATGGCTCCAGCCAGCCAGGGAAGCCCAGCTTTAACCAGGGGCCCAGTTACAGACCCATGACCACTCCAAAGGCTCCATGCCCACCATGCCATGGGCTGTGCTCGCTGGGGGCTCCCCATGCAGGCCCCATGGTTGGTGTAGTCCTGTGCCCCAGGCTCCACACTGGCCTACTCCAGCTCTCCCTGAGCTGGCATGTCCCTGGAGCCATCCTGGGAAGCAGGGAATTCTTGGCACAGAGGCTGCACCTCCAGAGCCCAGCAGACTCACAGCAAGGCAGAGCACATGCGTGCTGGATGCTCTCGGCGGTGGGGAGCCAGGCCCCATGGCTGCCAGCTGTCCTGGATGGCTGGGCCCAGGAGCCCTTTTTCAGAGTGAAGCCCAGGCAGCCAAGCACCGTCTTCACAGGGACAGCGAAGGACAGAGAGAAACAGAGAGAGACTCCAAGAGCAGGGGCTGCACCTTGGGAGATGATCGAGAAGAGGCCAGCAGAGACTGGCAGGCACCCAGAGACAACCCTGTGCCAGGGTGGCAGAGAAGAGATCAGCAGAGGGGGCCCCTGCCAGGGTGGCAGAGAAGAGATCAGCAGAGGGGGCCAGTGCTAGAGTGGCACAGAGCGGGCTGTGCTGGGTGTGAGCGGGACCAGGCTGAGAGATCAAGCGGTAGTGCTCAGTGGCCTTGCAGGGCCCCTTACTGGACTGGACGAGGCGCTCAGTTTTGGTGAGTGTGTGGCGGGCTGAACCATCAGCCGACTGGGCGCTCTGCTGGGTGGTGGTCTCGGTGGCCTGGGCCGCCTTCCCCGCCGCGGCCTGGTTCTTCATCTCCTGCAGCCGCTGGCCCCGCTCCTTGTCCCGCTGCTCTGCAAATGCACGCGGGCGATGGCGTTAATGCGGAGATGAGGGCACAGGGGGCAATGGATGCTGCCCGGCATGGAGCCACCACAGCCTCTCTGGGGTGCCCAGCCCAGTCCATCCTCTGCTACACGGTCCAGGAGTCAGGGCCCTGTGGGGAACTCCTTGCCCTGACAGAGCAGGAGACACAGCAGGAGGGATGGGGACGTTCTCCCAGCCAGGCCCCTGCTGCTCCTCGCCCATGATGCTGCCTTGCCAGATGGCGCCATGGCTATGGCACTGCAGAGACTCACACACAATGATCCGCAAAGGCTACAGAGCCTGCCTGCCTCCATGGCCAAGCCCCTCCCTGGGGTAGGGCCCAGACATCCCCATGCCAGCTCAGGTTTCGGTAGCACGGCTCCTGGCTCTCTGACCCCCCGTCTGCTGCTTCCATTCCACAGCCCTGCCAGCCTGCTGCCAGGGTCAAGGTGCCCACCCCCAGCCTACACAGGCCCTTGGGTGAGCCCATGGCTCCCCCAGCCACCAAGACCCGGGGACCCATGAGCAGCTACCTCTCTTCCTCTGGCGCAGCTCCCGCATGGCAGTGCGGATCAGCCGTCGCTCCTCGAAGTCCGACGTCTGGTCCAGCTGCCAAGGCAAGCGCGACACCAGCAACCTCAGCAACCGTGGCCTCATCCCCTGCCCCACAGCCAGCCCCAAACTCCACCACGGCCTCACCCCCAACCCTGCCCCACCGCGGCCTCAGCCCCAACTCCACCACAGCCTCGCCCCCACCTAGGGTGACCAGACGTCCTGATAAAATCGAGACTGTCCCGATTTTCAGTTCTTTGTCCCGCGTCCCAACCAACGCACGATCCGGACGCCATTTGTCCCAATATTGCGGCTTTGACTGCTTGGGCACTTTTTTTTGGGGGGGGGGGGGAGCTTCCCCCATGTGTCCCGATATTTTGTCTGTTTCATCTGGTCACCCTACCCCCACTGCCCCCTCAAACCCAAGCCACCGCCCGGCTGGGGTAGCTCAGACAGAGGCAGAGGGCAGGCTCAGCCAGGCCCAATGTACCATCTTATCCAGCACGTCCTCCTCCTCGATCCTGCTCAGCTCCTCAGCGCTCAGCTTGCTCCTCTTCTCCGGCTCCCTCGCCTGGGCGTTCTCCATCCCATTGGGCAGCTCCGGCTCTGGAACCAGCACCTGGGGCTGCTCTGCCAGCTCGGCCTCCATCTGCAACAAGAGGGGCCAACGTCGAGAACCTCCTCCCCGCTCCAGAGCGCCCTGCCCTGCCGAGGGCCCGGGCAAACCCCCCGCATACATCCCCCGGCCCCACAGGGAGAGCAGCTCCGGATGCTTCCCCCAGCCAACAGGCCCAGCGCTGGGGGGGGCATGCCCACGAGCAGCGAGGACTTGGTTTTACACCCCTAGTAAAGGGTAGCTCCAGTACTACCGTGCCCTCAGCGCCAGGCTGGGTATTAGCTATGGGCTGACGAGAGGGAAGAGCGCCACCTACTGCATTGCCAATGCCACTGCCCGACCATCCGCCCAGCTCCCGCTACCCACCGAGCCAGGCAGTACCAGCAAGCCCAGCAGAGGCTCCATCTGCCAATCCTCTACACCCACACAACAGGCTGAACTGTCCTGCCCTTCCCTAGCCGCCCCCACCCCACTCCATAAGTAGAGCTCTGTTGGGGGGCAGCCCTGACTATCTCCATACACAGTGGGGATGTGACAGACCAGAGGTCCCCCAGCAGGCCAGTGCAGGAACAGAACCCAGGAGTCCCGTCTCCCAGTCCTGGGCTTTTGCCACTGAGCCACATGTGACAAAACAGGAATATTTCGTAAACTTTTTAGGAGATCTATTTGTGCCTCAGTTTTCCCCTATGTGCTGGACTGTCACTAGCATGTGGAAAAGGGCTGCTTGCACTCTGGGCAGGCAAAGAGACAGATATGGGTGTTGCCTAGCTGTCTGGGCCCTAGGTTCAAGTTCATGGTGCTCTGGAGAATACAACAGCAGATCCAATTACCCAGACGCTGACAAGGACCCAGAGGCATATGGACTTCCCCACCTCCCAGCAAGGGGGCTCCCCAGCATTTCCCCAGCTCGGAAACGGGTCTGGAGAGGTGTGAGCTGGGGGACAAGCGTTGGCTGCTAGTGGCTGTCAAGGGGGCTTTGACCTGAGATTTGGACCAAGGTCAGACGGACGGAGAGCCAGAGTTCACTACAGCTTGGCTGGGCGCCCCAGAATGGACAATGTTTTACCCTTCCTTCCTCTGGGCTACCCCAAGGCCGTCCTGTGCTGTGCTCCGAGTGACTAATAAACCTGACTGGCTTGACAACACTGCGAGTATCACTGCACAAGCTGGACGAGGTGCATGCTTTCCCCAAGAGCAGACAAGTCCCCCTCGGCTGTCTCAGCGGGACTCGCTGACCAGAGCTGATGGGGTGGAGCAGGGGGGCTGCAGGCCCAGAGGTCCAGTCGGAGGAGGAGGGGAAGCCACGTGGCTTCCCCTGGAGGAAGTGAGAGACGCCGGGGATCTGGCCCATGGAAGGGTTCCCTCCCAGATGCTGTTCCAAAGCTGGCCCTAGCTCCAATCCTGTGGCTCCATGACACCACGGACATCACCCCACACCACCAGAGCCCAGCAGCCTGGTGCAGTCCAGCCTGTGGGGCAGACATGTACTGCTCCTGTGGATGGGCAATTCCTTCCCTACCCTCAACTCCTGCTCTCCGCCTCAAAGGGCACGCGGAACCCTGCAATGGGAACGGAGGAGTCAGGGACAGGGCTACTGTCAAGTTTCATGGTAACCCTAACACAGGCATGAGGGTCCAATCAGCCCATCCAAGATCCGCAGCAGTGAGTACACACGTCAGGCAGCCCAGATACACCCAGAGAGCGACGGCTGCCCGCAGCAGGCAGGCCCCACTGCCCAGTGAGCAGGGGCGCTGCCTGGGGCAGGCGGGTGGGCTAGGCAGCAGGCACCGTGGAGCCAGGGAGGTCAGCGCCCGCCTCTAGCTCCAGCACAGGCTTTCCAGGGGGATTAAGAGGCTTATCGGAAAGAGGATCCTGTGCTGGGGATCAGGAGCTGCCCTGGCAACGAGGCCAGGCCCAGCCTCTTCTGAACAATCATGTGGTGCCAGCTCCTTGTCAACACAGCCCCCAGCTCGGGCAGCCGGCCAGGCCCACAGTAGCACCGCAAAGGCCTGCGGGCAGGGGCTGAGGGGTCAGCTGTGGGGCTGAGACCACACCTGCTTGGCTCCATTCGCACACCCCCAGCAGAGCTTGGGCACCCCGGCGCTGGCCTCCTGAGGGGCCAGCTCTCAGTAGCCCCGTTGGAGCAGGGTGCCCTCCATGGCAGGACAGGATGGGGCAGGAGAGCCAGGCAGGCCAACCTATACAGCACTGCTGCCCTCTGGCTCTGCTTGGACCCAGCCCCCCAGGCTGGGCGTGACGGCCAGCAGCGCGGCCTCTCTCTCTGCCCAGCTGCTTGCTGGGGGTCAGTTCTCTTTGGTTAAAACACCAGGGGACCAAGGGCTAGGACTTCCCACCAGCCCGGGGGGCAGGGGTCGACCAGATGCCTAGCGCCCTTGGCAGGAGGCTGGCCTCTGTGGCCAGGGCTAGTGGTAGGCAGGCAGCGATGGGAGGAACCAACCCTAGGGCAGGGTCTAACGCCTTGTCAGCCGGGCCCGCTGGGCTGTGTGCACAGCAGCCCCACTAGCCCTGGTGCTCTGGCAGATTATCCCTGCAGGGGCCACACCCAGATCCAGGCAGCCCCGCGCCTCCCTGCCCAGCGGCCAGGGGAGACCCCGCTCACAGCGACAGCCTCGAGCAGCTCTGACACGGCACAGTGCCCCAGCACTCGCCGGAGGGCGCAGCTCCCTGGCTGGGCTCGGAGCCGGTGTAAGGAGACCCCAGGCCAGCTGTTCCTGCAAACAAACACGGGCAGGCAACAGCACCCACCACAACAGGCTGCTCCAGATGGCATGTCGGCAATGCGAGGCAGGCGGCCCGGATTGGCTCCGGGTGATGGGAGCCTCGGCTGGCACAGGTCTCCCTCAGCTGTAATCTCCTGCCACAGCCACAGTTAATCCCCCGTGAAAATGCACCTGCCTGGGCCAGCAGCAACTGGCGCCAGCTCTGGGGCTCCCCCGCAATAGCTTCCCTTTCCCCAGGAGCCAAAGCTCGGGGAAGGGCCGACAGGAGCACAGGGGCCTCACCCAGCAAGCTCCAAGCTGGCCGCCTGCTGTGGCCCTAGCAGGGGGAAGGGTATGGAGGTGCCGGCACTGGGTACCCAGAGCAGTTTTGCAGCTCAGCCAGCAGGGGCAGGCCAAGGCTTCTGCCCAAGCAACATCTGCCCACCCCTGCCTCCTTCCCCCTTGGAGGGAAGAAGGGACCCAAGACACAGCCAGCCAACGCTGCCCGTGGGACGGGCTCTCGGGGAAGCTGTCCACTGGAGGGAGTGGGCCTGCCACCCTGCCTTCCCCTGCCCAGAGCCCGCACACTCACAAGGCTGTTGCCCCTGGAGAGGTGCACAGATGACTGCCTGCGGGTGCTGGAAAAGGTGGGCGGATGGGCCACGGGGCTGCTGGGCTCCTCGGTGCCCGCAAAGTGGGCACATGGATCTTGTGCCTCCAGGAAGAGGGTGCTGGGGTCTTTCTCCTCCAGATCCTGGGCTCCCAGCCAGAGCGTGAGCACCTCCAGCTGCCGGCCAAGGCGCGCCTGCTCTGCCCGCAGCACCAGGTGCTCCTCCTTCAAGTCGTTGAGGGCGTTGGCCAGGGGCTGCAACTGCTGTAGAGCCTCCTCCAGGCGCCTCTCAGTGGCCAGCTGGAAGGCCTGGAGGTCCAGCCGGATCTCCTCCACCGTCGCCTCCCGGGCATTGTCCAAGCTGGGGAGGTGCACCCCCGGCATGATGCTGGTGGGGGATGGGATGCGGGCACGGCAGGGCCCCTCGCTGCCACGCCGCAGGCTCCCGGGGTGAGACACAGTATGGTCAAGGTCCTCTCGCTGCCAGCTCCGGGCGGTGGGCTCTGCAAGCTCCCAGCTCTTTATAGGGGCTCTTGGGCGTTGCCCCTCCCCGGGGCTGGGCTTTGTGTTCAGCCCCGCTATTCTTATCGCACAGGCCGGGGCCGGGCAGAGGGGCCGACACAGGAGCCGGGTGGGGAGGTGCTGAACTTGGAACGGTTCCCAGAGCAGGCCGGGCAGTGATGGACTCGGGCCAGGTGGCCAAGCCAGGGGGGGCAGGCAGCTGGGCATGGGGCAGTCACTGAGCATGCTGCCTCCCCACCCCAACGCACAGCATGGGCTCCCCCTGAGCTGCCTCCCTGGGTCTAGCCCTCAGCAAACGGGGGAAGGGGTCAATCAAAGGTAGAGCAGGGCTTGGATAGAGCAGCCCAGCCCCTGCCATGCTGCCCCCACACCTTCACCTCACCACCCCCCATGCTGCCCCCCACCACACTCACCCCCAAATCCCCCAGCCCCAGCCATGCTGCTCCCCACTGCTCCCCCAACTCCCCCAGACCAGCGCCCAGCTGTGCCACCCCCTGCACCCCAGCTACCACAGGCCAGCACTAGTGTCCCCTCCCAACACCCTAAGGAGGGGGAGGCAGGGCCCTTAGCCCGTAGCCCTGCAGTTCCTTTGGGGAGGGGCAGACTCCTAGCGCCACTCATGCCCATCCAGGCAGTGCTCCCAGCCCCCGTCCTGTGCCCTGACAGAGCCAGCTCCTCACCCCCGCACCAGCCCCGCCGTGCACAGATCTCCCCCGCAGGAGGGGATGCCTCCACCTGGACCGGCGCTGCCCAGCCTGTGGGCAGAGAGAGCACAATGCAGAGAGGAGCTGGCTGCAGGTCCAGGCTAGGCCTCCATGGGCCATAGGGGCAGGATTTCCTCTGGAGCGGGGTAAAAGACACAGTTCCCCAGCGGGGCTGCCTACTCCGCTTGGGAGTCCTCAGTGGGTCCCCGTCTTCACCCTATGCCCTCCCACACCCCACAAAAGACTCTCCCTCCCTCCCCCCCCCCCCAGGGCCTCGGTGTGCACAGCCCAATGCCAGAGTTGGCAGGGACGCTATCCCCGTCCCACCCCCACACCAGGCCTGCTCCACCCACCGGAACCAAACCTCTCTGCCCTACCAGCTGTTGCCCCCTCTCCGGGGGCTCCATGGCAAGCAAGCCAAGCAGGCAGCTCCAGCCCCACCAGCTGACTCTGCTCTGACACCAGCTCGCCTGGGGGGCGCTGAGCACCTGGCACGGCTGGTAAATAAAGCATCAGCCAGGCAGATCAGGTTCCCAGGCAGCAAGCGGCAGCAGGAGTGAAGTGCCCCCCCTCAGCCCGCTCCCTCTAGGGCCCAGGAGCACGCAGCGCCCTCCGCAGGGGCCCCTGGAATAAAGCACCCCCCAGCAGCCACATTGTTCACCCTCCGCATGGGCACCTGAGAGCACGGCCCCCCTGGTCCCCCGCCCAAGCGCCTGCCAGCCCCACAGTGCACTCCATGGCCTTGGCCACCCGTACCTGGAAGAGGTTGTGGGCTGCTCCTCCTGCCCTCTCCCCTGCGGACAGCCTCAGCGCACACCTGCCAGCTGCACTCTCCCACCGGGCAGACCCAGCTCCCCAGCCCTGTGCCGGCCACGCTAATACCTTAATGAGAGCTGACGGGCCGCAGCCGGGCCACGGGGCCGCGTTAGCTCATTAGTGCGGGAGAAACCGCCGGCCCCCCCACGCCCAGCAAGAGCTGTCCCTGCAGAGCGCACGGCTCCCAGAGGTGCTGCCCTCCTCCCTCAACCAGCCCTGTGGATGCCGCTCAATCCTGACCCACAGTCCCCCTCTGCTCCCTCAGGGCAGGGTGCAGGAGCCCCAGGGTTGCATGTGGTGGCTGGGCCAGAGCCCATGTGGCTGCTCCTGCAGGGCGGCCCCCCGAGCGTGGCTCCCACGGGGGTCCTGGACACAGAGTGGCCGAGAGCCGCAGACTCAGCTAGAGCCGGGCTGGCTCAGCCCCTCCTCCAGCTCCAGGGGCCAGGTGGGACATGACTCTGGTGCTGCACCTCCTGGGGAAAGGGAGATGCAGACAATCCTGCCACAAGGGGGAGCCACCCACAGGGGCACGTGCCAGGCCTGGTGCCATCCTGGGCCCCACGGCCGCTGGACCTCGAACACCACTGCAGCCTGGCCCTGACGCCTTTGTTTTTCCTAAACACTGCAACATGCCTGAGTGCTCAGCATTACCCTACATGGCCAAGAGCGCCAACCATGCCGGGCCAGCTCAGGGCCCAGCCACACGCACCCACCCCCGCCCCTCTCTTCCCACTTGGAGGCACGCGCCTGGCCACACACACCCGCCCCCCACCCTGGGGACACGTCCAGCTGCACAGGCCTGCCTCCTCCAGGGGTGTGCGCCCGGCTGCATGTTTCCCTTAGCTGGCTCCGCTCCAAGGGCCACCCCCCCACACACACACATCCCCCTACCTGGGTCACATGCCCGGTACACACACCTCCCCCCATCATCCCCCCAGGTGCACGCCTGGCCACACACAGGAATCCCAGCTCCAAGCAGCTGCCTAGGGGCTAGATGGCCACTCCCTGACGCCAGCCAGCTCTGACCCCTAAAAGGAAGGCAGGGGGGGAAGAGGTCCGTTTTCCAGTCCTTCCCAAGAATCCCCCTCCGGAGCCATGATGGGCAGGGTCCGGCACGGGCAGCTTCTTGCTGCACCCAGCGGGGTCTGGGGCAGAGGTACCACCCCGCACTCTGCGGGGCTCTGGGGTCCTGTCCCGTGGTTCATGGGGTCACCTGGCCCCATGTGACCCCAGAGTGAGGCCAGGATCCCCAGAGGGTATGGGGGGATGGGGACACTCCTCACACTGGGCTGCCACCCCTCACACAGACCACACCATCACAGAGCTCCTGGAGTAACACTGCTCTGACCTGGCCACCAGGGAGGGCAGCCACAACAGCTCCCCACCAGGAGCTCGCCGGGCTCAGTTGCAAGCCCCCAAATACACTGGGGGGCTGGGGACAGGCCTGGGCCAATCCCAGCAGGGAGCCACAGGGCCCATGGATCTGATTTCACAGCAGAGCCAGTGGAGGCCCAGGGATTTGTTTCCCTCCCCACCTCCTTGACACAGCCAGAGCCCCACAGTACCTGGCACCGGCTCTGTGCTCCCTGCTCCCCCGGACCCAGCCAGCCAGGGCTGGCAAACTCCTGCACCTGCCGGCTCAAGGGCTGAAGCATCCTTCCCTTGCGCAGGACAGGGCGACCGTGCTGTTAAAGAGCCCACCCCCCCAGGTACAGCCTGCACCGCAGGAGGTGCCCAGGTGGCACCTGGCATAGAGTGCGGCAGGGCAGGACTCAGAGGCCTGCAGGGACAGCAGCGCTGGCTGGATCCATAGCCCTGGCGTGCACGCGGTGTGGGGGGGGGGCTCACCTTGCTGGCCGTGCTGACCCTGCCGGTGCCGGTGCTGCTGATCCGGATGGGCGAGCTCCGCAGCCCCAGGGTCAGCTCTAGGAAGGGAGGGCACAAGAGTAGAGGCTGGCAGCCAGCAACGGCCGCGGCTATCTCAGCACTTCCCCCACCCCCAACAATCGCACTCGTGCCAGCACCCCACGGAACCATACAGGACTCAGATCCAAGCCCCCGGCCCCCACCCCATCAGCTGCTGAGCCATAGAGGACACAGCCCCCAGCCCTCTCAGAGCCCATGCAGGATCTGGGCAGAGTCCATTCCCCGAGCGCCAGGGCTCACCATGCAGAGCGAAGCTCACCCTAGCTGATGGCACAGCTGGCCTCTGCACAGGGAGGGTCCAGAGTCACAGGGATCCCCCAGCCCTGGCAGGGGACTCCCCAGCAGGGAACCTGCCTGCTCCACAGTGAGGGGAGCTGAGGCGCTCCCCAGCTCTGGGGCAGGACTGGGAGGGATCCCTCCCTGGGGGTTAGGAGCAGAACAGCCAGAGGACCCAGTGCCCAGGGAGCGTCCCACAGCCCTTCAGCTGGAGCCGAGACTCCCTTGGCTGGGACAAGGGGCAGCCAGCCCTGGGGCCATACAGCCCAGCTCCAAGAGCGAGTAAAGGCTCTGTTGATTTCCCGTGAGCCCCACTGATCTGCCCTGGGGAGAGAGGGAACTGTGGGGCATCCTAGCGTGGCAGAGGGACCCCAAGCGGGCAGCCAGGCGGGGGCCAGGGCTAGGCTGCACCCCCAAGGGCTGCAGAGCCAGCCCCACCTGGGCATGCTCAGCAGCGGCTGTCCCTTGCTCCCAGCTCTCCCAGGAGTACAGCTGTGAGACCCACACGTCGAGAGCTCAGCCTGGCCGCCGTGGCAGCTGTGGAACCTACCTGCCCGCTGGCTGCCCGGTGCGCCCACGACGCGGCTGCTGAGGGGCTGGGCCCTGCCATCCTTGATCTCGATGGTGAAGAGTGTTTTCATGGGGTCCTCGTCCCTGGCGCTGGCCTTGGTGCCGCAGGCAGGAGGCTGGGGCCGGGCCGGGCGGCTGGGCAGAGAGGCAGCGTGCTGGGCGCCAGGCTCCTCTGTGCCGGACGAGCTTCCCTCGGCGTTTTCAATGGGCCTCTGGTGGGACGTCAGCAGGCTGCCCTGCGATTGGCCAGCCTGGCTCCTCCCCACAGAGCTGCCCTCCTCTTTAGGGCAGGCTGGGCCCCCGGCAATCGCAGCCTCTGCCTCCGAGGAGGAGGTGCGGCGCTCCGCACGACTGCTGGCTGGGGGGCCCCCCGAGCCCTCCTTGACTCCCCGGAGGGCAGCATGGCCCAGTGGCGCTGGGCTGAGTCCGCACCGGGGACCGCTGGGTAAGTCTGCTGTGCACTGGGCACCGCCTGCCTTTGAGCCCCAGGCACCCTGGGGGCGCAGAAGTTGCTGCTGCAGGACCCAGGAGCCTTTGCCAGGGGTTTCCCACTTCTGGCTGCAGGACCTGGGACCAGGCTGGGCCAGGGAATCTGAGGTGAACTTGCGGACGCGCTCCCGCACCGAGTTGGCTCTCTGGAAGGGCTGCTCCCGTGCGGGCTCTGGAAGGGGAGACAGGAGCCGAATGAGGACTTGAGCGATTCACCCTCCCTTGGGCACAGAGCCTGACTGGCACTCGTGCACTTTGCCCGGGAGGGGCCGCGTGGCATCCTCACCCCCAGCTCAGTCAGGTTTCAGGAGGACCCTGCCAGCCCATTACCCCAGGATGGGGAGTGGAGAGGCAGCCTTGCACCAGCTCTCATGCCACCAGGGCAGGTGCCACATCCCGTAGGGCAGCTGGCATGCTCTCTAGAGAAGCCAGGGCTGGGGTTCCTTCCCACTGCACCCCTAGAGCAGCAGCGGGCAGTGTCACAGAGAGCCCCTCCCAGGGGCTGCTTCTGAGGGAAGGATATGGGGTAGAGCAAAGGCCAGGGAGCAAGGAGGGCACGCTGGATGCAAGGGGAGAGGGCATTACCTGTGCTGTGGGCCAGGAGCGGGGAAAATGGCGCAGATGGCATGTGGGTGTGGCGGGAGAGATCCTGGGGGGCAGGGGTTCCTGGCACATCATGGGTGGGCGCTGCCAGCCACAGTGTTTGGGAAGGACCAGTCCAAGGTAGCATTTTCAGAGATGCAGAGAGCCCAGTCAAGGAGAGCCATGTTAGAACAGCAGCACCAGGCATCACCTCCGAGCACAGCAACCTGAGGCCCGCCCCACGGCCAGGGCAGCCGGGCCCCCCTGTCGCAAAGCCAGGCAAAACCCCCATGGCTGCCCTGCCCCACAGGTACCCAGCTCTCAGCCAGGGGTGAGTTAATCTGGGCCAGCGCAGGCCCACGGCCAGCAGAGGGCACCAGACTGCAGCCCTGCCCCCCAGCTCTGGAGCACACAGAGTCCCCAGGTGGGGCAGCCTGGGGCAGACTCAGGGACAGTGCCCACGTTCCGCCCGCCGCCCCCCTCCAAGGGCGCTGCCAGGCTGGGGGAACCTGGCCAACTTCCTGCAGAGGCGCCCAAGGAGTGCAGGGTTGGCTGCAGAACCAGCCCCTTTGCACGGACTGCATTCGTGCCCCCACTGCCTGGGCCTCCAATGAGCACCCCGCCTCACCAGCTCGTGGCACCAGTCCTGGGCACTGCCCAGGGAAAGCCCACCTGCAGGGGTAGTCGTGAACGGCTGCCCTGGGAACCTGGCTCCAGGGGTTACACTTGGCCAAACCAGGGCCCCTGCCCCTCCAGAGCACAGAGAACAGCGCTGTGCCGCCAGACACCAGCGCCCCCATGCCCTCTGCTGCGACCGGCCGCGCCACACAGACTGGGCTGGGGGCTAGTCCAGCAGGCCACGCTGCCAGGGCGCAACCCTGTGGGGAGAGCCAAGGGGAGGGGCTGCCATGGGGTCTGCGGAAGTTGTCCCCCTTCCCAGAGCAGCGATCACAGGCGATCTCTTGCTCCATGCGCTGCCCTGGCACTGTCATCCCCAGGACCCCCTGCTCTCGGGCAGGGACACGGGCACCGCAGCACCTGCCTGGCACCACGCAAGAGGCTCACACAGCGGGACGCTGAGCCCACCTCGGCCAGGCCCCAGCCCAGCCAAGGAGTCACCCTCTGTTTGGAGGCCTGGGGGCTTGACCCACTTCTACAGGAGTCCCCATCACAACCATTAGACCCCTCTTGGCCATGGAGAGGGGCCTGCCCTCCCCTGACCGGAGTCAGGCATGGTGTGGTGCCTGTCCCTGCTCTGGGCAGACCCCAGGACTGTAGGTCTCCAGGCCTTCTCCCCGCCCCTCCTGCTCACCCCCTTCGCTCCCGCTGCCAGGGAGTCTGCACCCTACGCCCGGCCTTGCTCAATGCCTGGGGGCAGCGCTTGCTGGGCCTTATCCCCCTGCCCCATTAGCGAGGGCCCCTGCCTCACTCCCCTGGCGCAGGAAGCTCAGGGGTGCTGTCACAGAGATGATCCCCCCGGGAGGGCACTGGAGAAGGGCTATGCCCAACGACCCCTGCTCCACCTGTCCTGCAGGGAACTCCCGGCTCATCTCAGCCCCTCCCTGGCCTAGCGGAGACCCTGGCAGGCTGAGTCGGGGGGCTGCCCAGGGCCAGGATCTCAGCTGTTTCCTCCAGCTCCCTGGGCTCCCCAAGCCGCAGCAGCCGGCGCACAATGGGGAGAAGCCTCGGAGCTGCCTGGTACAGCAGGCCTGTGCTATGAATCGAAGCGCAGGGCGGTCCCCCGAGCTGGGAGCCTGGCTCCCCCGCTAGGCCCGCTAAGCCGCCTCCAGCCAGCAGTGCGAGGTGGAGGGCCAGGAGAGCACAGAGCAGTGCTGAGCCACCAGCCTTATTGGGCTAAAGAATGTAAAAGGCCGGAGTTTGCTGCACACACAGATTCCCTTTCATGGCCCTGCAGCAGCCCAGCGAGCAGCCAGGAGATGTCAGCAGCACCAGCCCAGCCCGCTCCCACATCAACCGGGGCCAGGGGCAGCTGATGAGCAGGGTCAGGGAGGGGCCACAGGCCTGAAACCCCCATCCCGTCCCCAGGGGCAGGAATGCAGGGGGCACCCCCTCAAGGACTCCCACGCAGACATGGACCAGTCTCCCAAGGCACTGCCATGTCTGTGCCCCCTGCCTTCACTCTGCACCAGGAGTGGTTTGGTTTTGCCAGGGACGCTTGTCCCACCCCAGGAGGCGGGGGGGGGGGGGAAGAGGAGAGAAGAGGGCATCCTCCTCCTCGAGCACAGACCCGGCCAGGAGCCCAGAGGTTCGTCACAGAAGGCTCAACTCCTTCAAACAGCCAGACTGGAGCAAGGAGGACACAGGCTGTCCAGGAGTGCCAGCAAGGCCACTCTGCCTCCCCCGGAGGGCAGCACTGAGCTGGGAGCCCACAGCGCCCCCTACTGAACTACCTTGGCACTGCTGCAAGAAAGCCCACAGCTCCGCCCACCCACACCACCCACCTGGAGGGTGGCACCGCCGCAGGGAGTGCCGAGCAACTCTGCAGCCAGCCCAGGGGGAAGCACTGCTGTGGGGTGGGGGGCGTGCAGCATCCCCGAACAAGGCAGTTCATGGCACGGCCACACTGGAAGGGGCACTTCTGTGGGGAAGTTCACAGCCCCAAGGGGGAGACTGGCACAGGGGAGCTCCAAGCACCCCCCAGCAGATGCATTGCTGGGTGTCTGCAAAACACCCCCAGAGAGGGATCCCGCCAATGGAACAAGTCAACATGGCCAGCAGGGAGCTACTGTGGAGAAGCTCGCAGCGCCACTGGAGAGGGGGCACTGTTGCAGAGAAGCTCGCAGCCTCGGTGCCCCAGCATACAAGGAAGCCCTCACTTGGTGCAGGAAGGTCCATAGACACTAGTGACAGCACCATCTACCGGTGCAACTCCCGGCAGGGGCTCCCCGACCACAAGGCCCCAGCCAGGCACAGCAAGTGCTAGGGGGGAGGGGATGGCGCCGCGCTTGCATCTTACCAGCTCGCGTCTTGTTGGCAGTGCTGGCTGGCTTCTCGGGCGCTTGGCTTTTGACACAGGAGCTGACCTGGGGAAAGGGAGAGGAGGAGTGTAGGGTTAGTCCCAGCAACTCCTCAATCTGACAGGTGCCAGATGGTGCTGGTGAGAGGTGCTGGGTAGTGCCTGCCCTGCCCCCCTCCCTGACTCTGCCCATCCCCCTGCCCATCCAGCCCTACCCCTCCCACCCCCGGCTCTGCCCACCCCCCTCGATCCCACCACGCAGCTCCCTGCCAATCCAGCTCTGCCTCCCTCCCCTGGCTCTGCCCACCCCCCCTCGATCCCACTGTTCAGCCCCCTGATAATCCAGCCCCAGCTCCACCGATGTGCCTCACTCCTGATCTGCAGCCCCCTGCCATGCCACTCTGGGACCTGGAAAGGCGAGGGCTGACCTTGCAAGGCACAGGGTAGTTTTGTGTCTCTGATAAAAGGGGACGTGTTAAGACCCAGACTCATTTCGCTCACGTCCTGTTTCAGGCCTGGAAAGCGGGTCCCTGTGGCGAGCGGCTACCGGGCTCCCCCCATGTGCCGCCTAGCGGTCAGCATTGGTAGTGCCCGGCTCAGCCCTCCAGTCACGCCTGCCACATACAGCCCGTGGGCTCCGCTAGGGGGGAGCGGCAGGTGCCGCACTCTACCCGCCAGCCCGCAGGCCCAGCGGAGAGGGCAGCCACAGCCCGGTCCTGGGCACCGTTCCTCAGGCCCCCCGGGTGGGGCGGCTGTCTCGTTACCTGGCTGCTCTGGCTCCTGTTGCTGGGCAGCCTCCGGCAGGTCTCCTCCGCTGGGCAGCTGTCGCCCGTGGTTGCAGGTGCCTCTTGCTGCTCTGGCTCCCCCTGGCTGGGCTCCCCACTGCCCCCTGCCTCTGGCTGGCCGAACCCCTCGCCGTCCCCCTCCTGTGCGCAAGGGCTGGTCAGGCTCGCGCAGGGCTGCTCTGCCCCTGGGCTGGGCTCAGGGCTCTGGGAGCTGCGCTCCGGGGGATCGGCTCTCTGCTGTGGCTCCAGCTCCGAGGACGAGGAGCAGTGCGGGGGAGGCAGCGGGTCCAGGAGCAGCAGGGTCCCTGAGGCCGGGTCTGCAGGGGAGAGAACCAGCTTCTTATGGGGAAAAGTCCCCCCACCCTCCTCCACAGCTAAACAGCCCCCACCAGCCCCTCCTGAGTGCGACCACCGCACTGGGGCAAACCCTCTCCCACGGCTCTCTGCCACACACCTTCTGCCATGCCCAGTCCCTCCAGGGCAAGACCCCTGCTTAGGACCCAGCAGCAAATTGGGTGCTGCCCCGACCACACACTGCAGCCTGGGAAAGGGGCTGCTGCCCCAGTCCAATGCTCCCTGCCAGAGAGAGAGCAGGCAGGGCCACTGCTCCCCACATAGTGCAGCCCCTACAGGCCACAACCCCATTGGGCAGGGCATAGTGGGGTCCCACTCACCCCATCCCGCTAGGGGAAGTAGGCTGTGGGACGGGACGGACGCGGCATTCCGGGGCAGGACTTTGCCTACGGAAATTGGGCCCCGGTGGCAGGATTTGCATGGACTTACCCTGGGCATCCGGTTTCTGAGGCTCTCTCCTCTGTTCACTGCGTAGCTCCCGGATCTTAGCCCGGATCTGCTCCCGCTCCTCCAGGTCCTCTGGCTGTGTCTAGGGGACAGGAGAGTGAGCACCAGGACAGCCAGCCAGGCTGCCAGCCCCCGCAAGAGGGAGCACCCAGCTGAGGGCCCCTTTCCAGGCTGTCCCTGCCCAGTCCCCAGCACTGGGCATTTGCGTTAGCCCTGCTTTGACCCTCCCTCTGGAGAGTTCCCAAGTTGCCCCCAGGCGGGCCTGAGGCCTGCAGTGGGTAGCCTGCACGACTCCTGAATGAAGACAGAGATGCTGAGAACCTGGCCAGCCCCGAGTCCAAGTGGGGGACATGGGCTTCCCCCGGGGAGGGCTCAGTGCTCCCCACAGCCCGACCTGCCCTGTTGGCAGGGACATACAGGCCACCCTCTTATACATCTCCTCAGGAGCCTGGAGCAAGCCCTCAGCAGCTTGCCATGCTCCTCTGGGGGCGCAGGTTCGAATCCAGCCCAGGGAGAAAGTGGCTGGAAGTCCCCAGGGCGACAGAGAGAGGGCTCAGCCCAGCTCCCACCACCCAAGCCAGCCCTTCTCTCAAAGAGGGGGGGGCCAAGAACTGAAGAGCCCCAGGAGGCTGATCTCTCAAGTGCTCTCTGCAGGGCTGGCGGGGGCCGGGTATGCAGGCAGGACGGGTACGTGGGCAGGGGAGGGTACGCAGGCAGGCCACTTGGGCAAGGCTGGACCTGCCCCTGCTGCCCTTATCCAGCAGGAAGGGAGCTCCCACCAGTCCCCAGCGCTTGGGTCACACAGACAGCGAGCATGCAGGGCAGCTCTCAGGCTAATGCTGGCAGGCCCAGCACCTCGGGCAGGAGCAGAGCAGCTGCAGGGGCAGGCACGGTCCCCCAGCCTCCCACAAGCCCTGGCCAGGCAGAGGAGACTTCAGCCTCAGCTAGTCTCTCCCCACGTCCCACTCCTGCTTTCAGGAAGAAAGCTTCAAGGTCCCCCTGGCACAGATCCCCTTCCCACGTTGCTGCCTGGAGCAGCTGTGGGAAACCCACCTGCCCCAGGGCCAAAGCCCCACCCCCCAGGGCTCAGGGATGGCAGGGTGGGACCGTGGTGATTACCCATGGGGCTGTGGGGTCCCAGGGATGCAAGAGGGAGCAATGGCACCCAGCAACACTGGGCACCCTAGAGGGCACTGAGGATGTGTGGGGGGAAGCCTGGGACAAGATGGAGCCAGCCCAATGCCCAGCACGTGGGGGAGACTGCCCCCAAGTGTATTGATAGCACATCTGGGCGTGGGCACATCCCCCGGCTCACTGCAGAGCCCTGCACTAATACACTGCACAGAACCCTCTGCCCCAGGCTTCCCAGTTCCTGCAGAGCCCCCCACCACTCACCACAGAGCTGCCCCCGTCCGGGCTCTCCTTCTCCTTGGAGGCCAGGGGCTCATTTTCCCCTTTCCGGCTGCCGTGGGTTCTCCCTGCCGAGGCTGCAGCTGGAAGGGAGGAAGGAAGGAGCCGATTAACGAGTAGCTGGCTCGGGGCAGCGCCAAGCTAGGCCTGTGCAGAGAGCCAGGGGAGGGGGGTGCGCCAGGGCCGTACCCTCAATCTCCTTGGCCCGCAGCTTGCGGATGGCGGCCCGGATCAGCTTGCGCTCCTCGTACTCGCCGGCTCCTCGCAGCTGTGGCAGAAAGGGACACAACATGGGCTCTCACAGCTCCACGGCCGCCCCAGGCTCCTGGCACGATGGGGGAGGGAGCGCCCAGGCTCGGCTGCAGCCCACTCCCACACGGGCCAGGTTGGCTCAGCAGCCGCCAGGAATCCTGTCCAGGCGTATGATCCGCCGGGCACAGTGCAGGTTCCCAGATGACCCTCTGCAGCTGCTCCACGCATGGGCACCAAGCTCGCCCTGCCATACCAGGGCCAGGAAGGGAGGGAGCACAGAGCAGGTTACAATGGATGGTTGGGAGCCAGGACTCCTGGGTTCTAGTGACAGCTCTGCCACAGTCTCCCCATGGTACCTAGGGAAGGCCTTGCCTCAGTTTCCCCACAGTTAGGTGGTCAGGCGCCACCCCTGGGGAACAGAGCTCCAGACGCTCTCACTGAACGCTGCCTACTGGGTGCAAGAGTGGGAGGTGCAGCGCCTGCTGGGGAGGAGCTCACACTCCAGGCAAACTAGCCGGCAGCCTCTTCCTCCTGCCCACCCCCCCACGCCAGTGGGAGACTAAACCATCTGCATCCTCCTCACCTCCCACCCACCAGGGCACTGGAGCCCTAGACTCAGGTCCCCTTGGCGGGACACCCTCCACTGCCCTGCTCCTTCAGCTCTAGCCCCCCAAGAGGCAGACCCCAGAGCATGCTAGTCAACAGCTGGCTCTGCCCACCGCGTGGCCATATGCACAGCTCTGCCCACCAGCCATGCCCAGAGGCAGGGGCTGTGGCAGTGGTAGGCCTGGGTCGTGAGAGGTCCCAATCTCAACTGCTCCATTGGCACTATGGCAAGTACCCACCGTGCTCCTGGCACCAGGGTCTCCAGCTCTCTGCGCCTTGCCAGCAGCCTGCCCGGCACTGCTCAGGAACTGCCTGGCCACGGCTCCCCTGCACACTGCTCAGACAGGGTAGCTGATGGGAGCGGAAGGCAAAGGGACATGGAAGATGTGGGAACGGAGGAGAGTGAGCAGATGGGAGAGGGCGCTGAGGAGACCAGGGGACCCCTAACCAGAGCGTGCGAGCAGTAGCAAGTGTACAGCAATGGACCCGCCCCCTGGCCTGTTTTACCAAGGGGAAACTGAGGCACAGAGAGGGGCAAGGACATACTCGCTGTGTGACCTTGGTTCAGGTTAAGGGGCACAGCTGGGAACAGAACCCTGGAGTCCTAGCTCCCCATCTCGTGCTTGCCTGCTCTTATTACAGGAAAGGAGAGGGAGTGGCAGGAGCTGAGCTGGAAGGCAGCAGGCACCCTGGCTGGCACCAGATCCTCCCCACTCCATGCCCAGGGCATAGTTCAGACCTTCCTCCAGGAACGGAGCCAGAGCAGGGTCAATCCCTCCCCTAGAGGGCAGCCAGCAGCCCACGCCCTGGAGGGCAACTCACCAGAGCCGTCAGCTCCTCCACGTCCGTGATGGAGTCGAGCTTCCCAGAGAGCAGTGCCAGGGATTTCTGCTGCTCCTCCTCCAGCCGCTGAGACCTGCAGAGAGACAGTCTGACAAGGGGCACGCAGGCTGCTGGCGGGGGGCAAGTGCCCCACCTGGTGTAGGCTGGGGAATGGGGCTGTCCCCCCAGTGCCAGAAATCAAAGTGCACCCTCAGCTTCCTGGTGGTGCACGCAGGGAGGGGCCAAGACAGTATGATGCCAGGATGGGGGCACTTCCCCTAAGCTGAGCTGTAGCTTCTCCTCTGAGGGGACCAGGGGCACACACAGGTCCCACAGCAGGAGGAACAGGTATCCAGGGAGCAGCATTCAGCCAGCACCGAGCTGCCTGCCAGGAGCACTGCCATCCCCACTGGGAGAGGCAAAGACTCTGCTCCATAAACCTGGCCCATTGGGCTCGAGAGGGCAGCTCAGCCCTGCCCACAAGGTGTGACAGGGCCCACAGCCCATGCCCTGCCCCTGCACTCACCGCAGCCAGTTCTCCTTGTTCTCCTGCCGGTGGCTGCCGCGCTCCGAGCGGAAGCGCTTGGACGCCAGAGCCTCCTCGTCCCGCTCCAGCTCCTGGCGCCGCAGCTCCCGGATGGCCGAGCGGATCTGGCGCCGCTCAGCAAGGTCCAGCGTGGCCTCCAGCTGGGGAGCAGAGCAGAGCGGGGAGCTCACCCAGGGACGGACAGAGCCTGCTATTCATCCAGCCCCCTTCTCCCAAGGGAGCTACGCTCAGTGCCACCACCCGCCGTGCCACCCCCGCCTGCACTCAGCACAATGGGGCTGTTTGTGACGCTGCGCGAGCTCCACAGCAGCATCACCACACACACGGCCGGGCACTGTCCTCACTAGGCAGCTGTCACGGAGTCCCCGGGCGATGCTCTGGAACTGCTCCCTACGAAGCCAGGCAGGACTCTGGGGAAGTCTCCTTTCTGGGAGCAGCCTGTCTGCAGGACACAGCTCACCCAGCTTCCACCTTCCTGGGTCTGACCTCAGAGCATTCAGCATCCTCTGCCCCTCCGTGCGCTTCCCACAGCGAGTCTGCCCAGGCGGGGTCTTGGGGAAGCCAGAGGGTCCTGCACCCCAACTCCGCAGTCAGACGGGACTCTCAGCCAGCCAGTAAAACAGAGGGTTTATTAGACGACAGGGACATGGTCTAAAACAGAGCTTGTAGGTGCAGAGAACTGGACCCCTCAGCTGGGTCCATTTTGGGGGGCAGTGAGCCACACAACCCTTTCTGCACTTCACTCCATGTCCCCAGCCAGCCCCCAAACTGACTCTCTCCAGCCCCTCCTCCCCTGGACTTTGTTCCTTTCCCGGGCTAGGAGGGCACCTGATTCCTTTGTTCTCCAACCCTTTAGCTCTCACCTTGCAGGGGGGAAGGGCCCAGGCCATCAGTTGCCAGGAAACAGGGTGTCCGCCATTCTCTGTGTCCAGATCCCTGCACACACCTGCCCTCTAGGGCTCTGCAACGATCATACACCCTTATCCCACCACCTAGATACTTAAGAACGGCATAGGGGAAACTGAGGCACCCCCACACTATTCAGAGGAAACATTAAGAACAGTCCCGCTTCGTCACATCTCTCCCCCCTTCGAGACAGAAGTGAGCTGGATCACTTTAGCCGGTGACCTGGGGAAGTTCGAAGCCACCAACGTTCCCATGAATGCCCCAGCATCTCTCCCATTCCTTGGTGGGAGTTACACCAGGCCCTTCCAGTTTTACACCCTTCCAGTTTCACACCCTCCCTTAGGTCAGGGCTGGTCGATAGCACTCGCATGCCGCATATGGGAAGGTTTATGCGGCCCGTGCCCTTTTGCCACTCAAAAACCCCCAGGGGTCAAACTGGGATCGGGTCTTCTCCCAGTGCTCCAGTCTGGAGGGCTGCAATTCGGGCTCTCTTGGTTAAGAGCCCCCATTTTGATCTGGGCCACATAGTGTTCACTTACAGAACTAGCATGGAGACATTCCTTTCTCAACAACCTTGTCTCCCCAACAAGCTGGCCAAACACAGCCACTTGGTTATAGGACCATTTAACTTTCTTAACAGCTTTCTCTCCATCTGAGACCTTCTCAAAGCTATCCACACTGGATCCTTCAACAGGAAAGTCAGTGGCTTCATTCTCAACAGAAAATTTCTGGCTGTTAGGAACTGAAACTTTCTTGATTCAATCACTTTCACACCCTTCAGTTGCAGTAAACTGCTTGCAAAGACTCCATGAGGATTCCTTTCCCCAGGGGCTTTTCGATGCAACAATTCACACTTCTCAGAAATTCTGCTCTTCCCCTCGGGCTTGCTCTAGAGGAACACTTTCCTGAGCAACAACAGACTCTTTCTGGGTCTCCCTTACACCCAGAATCACCTCTGGCCCATCTGGTGGATTCCTACACAATCCCCTTTCAGGCAAACTTACAGACTTCCTAGAGAAAAGGTCAGAAGCATTCTCCTTCCCTTTGCCACACACAAGTTCAGGAATCTTTTCCTTCTTGCTACAGGTTTCCATACCCTCAGTAGGTAACACAATCAAATCGCCTTTCTGCTCTCCTTGTGCCCTGGCTAGGATCTCACCCTGATTAGACAGAGTTGCTACACTGTTTCCCAGCCACATACTAGCAACAGGCAAAATACAAGCACCAGAATTGTCTGGGCTCTGGGGTTTTACATAGACACTAACTGGATGCGACCTAGTTACAGGGCCATTCTCCCGAACAGACACAAACTTAGGACCCTTCCCTTCCTGGGCTTTAGCTGATTCCAGAACCAACTCTGAGACAAATGCACGACCCTCAACCATCACAGGCTGAAAGGCCCCTTCTGTCTGCTCCACGGACAAAGAAGAGCCGGACACACTTTCTCCTTTACCAGACACACAGCTTGGGATCTCATTCCCCTTGTCCCAGCACACAAGGCTGGTCACAGACAACTGCTTGGAGACCGGGGTAGCTCCCTCCATAGGCTACCCCCGACAGACACAGGCACATTTCCTTCACTGTCCCAATTCTCCACCCAGCTAACAGGTAAGGTCCAGGGACACTCATCTTCCACTCTCCTCGCCTTCCCACCCTGCTGACTAGACACAGCCATCAGCTCACAAGGCTGCCTAGGCTCATCCAAACTTTCCTTACCAAGCACCTTGCCACTCGCAACAGATACCCTGCCTGTGTCTCCCCCCACTCAGCTGGGGTCTCAGCTCCCACTGTGCTCAGCGCTGCCCTTGCTGTCCCAGTGGGCTGCTTTCCTCACAACATCAGAGCCAGCCTGATCCCCTTCTCCAGTGTGCAAGGGGGGCGGGGAGCATCTTTCTGTCCCACCCAGCCCCAGGGGTCTGGTTACAGGCAGGCAGGTAGCCTGAGCCTAGTGGCTCCTCCCCCCTGCCAGCCAGGTCATCTGCATTTTCACTGACCATTTCCCTCTCCACCGATTGGTTCCCTGGATTCAAATTCAAACCCTTGGATGTTACAGGAGCAGGGCCTGGATCCTGTCCCAAAGAGACACAGTCACTCTCCAACAGGGTCTCACAGCTGATATCCTGGAGAACCCCAACAACCAGCCAGCCCCACCCCTCCTGGGTCTGCACAGGAATCTGGGCCATAGGCAGGGCGAGGGGCTTCATCCCTGGGACCCTCACCCAACTCACACAGCCCCTCAGCATCTGAGGCTGCACCACCCAGGGCCTGACAACAGTTCTCTCTGTTCCAGGATCTCACCACCCCAGGAATGTCTCTCCATTGACCATCACCTTCTGCTCCCACTGGGGGTCCAAGGGGCCTGGCCCCAGGAAACTCCACACAGACATATAGGTTGGGGTCAGGAGTGGGAGCCTGTCCACCTCCCCACCCATCTGGCTGACGGAGTCTATAGCCTTGGGACCCAGCAAGGGAGCTAGACACTGGGGCTTTTCCGCAGGGTCCCCCTCGTTCAAATCGCCAGCCTGCTCAAAGGCAGTGAGGTGGCATCCACATCCCCCCCCCTTAACCAGGGGCAGCAATTTAGTATTGAGGTTTCCTGCGGAACTGGCACCCCGGGGTCTATCCCCACTCACCCCTGGGAGGTCTCCTAGGCCTCTCCACCCCACCACCGCCAGTTCATGCTGCTGCTGCTTCTGCAGCTCTTTCTCGGGCTCTCGCTGTCTCTCACAGTCCTCTTCCTCTCTCGGACTCAGCTCCGATCCCTGGATGGGGAATCCAATCATGAAGACCCTCATCTGGTCAGGGACAGGAGTCTTGGGGAGGCCTGGCTACCACTGCAGCTGCTCCCAAATCCTGCTATAGCCCCATTTGGGTCACAAATCTGTTCCTTAGAGTGGTCATCCTCCTCCAGCTGCACGATTAACTGTGCCTTGGTGAACTTTCCAATGCGCAACCCTCTCTTTCTGCACCGGGTTACAGTGTCCTTCTTAAGGAGACGGTGACAGGCCATCACTCCGCTCTTCCCAAGTTGTTGCGGACTCACAGGCCTGTGTGTTCTCAGCTCCCCACGGTTTCCAGGGAGAACCCCTAGTGTGCCAGCCCTTCTCGAGGTCACCACCTCTTTGCTAGGATCAAGGTGCAGACTCCTCCGCCCCTTGGACTGCTCACTGCAATCCCCAAGGGACCCCTGTTACTGCAAAAGTCCTTCTCTCTCCCAGGGCCAAGCCACAGGCTCCTCCACCCCTGAGACTGTTCATCGCAATCCCCAGGGGGACCCCATTACTGCACAGTCTTTCTCGCTGGTCACACACTCCCAGGGGTTAACCACCCCCCGAAACTGCTCCTCTCTGAGCCTTCAGCACGCCTGGTCCTCGTCAATCCCCCTTCGTTTTACTGCTCCCCAGTCACTTACAGCAGGAAACGCCATTCACCATTCACGAGGTGCAGTACATCTCACCTCTGCCACCAGTTGTCACAGAGTCCCTGGGCGATGCTCTGGAACTGCTCCCTACAAAGCCAGGCAGGACTCTGGGGAAGTCTCCTTTCTGGGAGCAGACTGTCTCTAGGACACACAGCTCGCACAGCTTCCACCTTCCTGGGTCTGACCTCGGAGCATTCAGTATCCTCTGCCCCTCCGTGCACTTCCCACAGCGAGTCTGTCCAGGCGGGGTCTTGGGGAAGCCAGAGGGTCCTGCACCCCAACTCCGCAGTCAGACGGGACTCTCAGCCAGCCAGTAAAACAGAGGTTTATTAAACGACAGGAACATGGTCTAAAACAGAGCTTGTAGGTGCAGAGAACTGGACCCCTCAGCTGGGTCCATTTTGGGGGGGCAGTGAGCCAGACAACCCCGTCTGCACTTCACTCCATGTCCCAGCCAGCCCCCAAACTGAAAACGCCCTCCAGCCCCTCCTCCCCTGGGCTTTGTTCCTTTCCCGGGCTAGGAGGGCACCTGATTCCTTTGTTCTCCAACTCTTTAGCTCTCACCTTGCAGGGGGGAAGGGCCCAGGCCATCAGTTGCCAGGAAACAGGGTGTCCGCCATTCTCTGTGTCCAGACCCCTGCACACACCTGCCCTCTAGGGCTCTGCAATGATCATACACCCTTACCCCATCACCTAGATACTTAAGAACTGCCTAGGGGAAACTGAGGCACCCCCACACTATTCAGAGGAAACATTAAGAACAGTCCCACTTCGTCACACTCCTCTGAAGAGACAGAGATCTGTCCAGGGGGC